AGCATATATTACAATGCATGCTCAACTCCCAAGAATGGTTTTTAAAAAGTAAATTTTAGGCGTGGTAGTGACATTTGTATCTCAGTTCTTGAACTATTTATGCCTTATTGATACGGGGAACTTTTTAAATGTCCAAGCCGTTTTATATTTATTTTTCATTCGTCCAGATCGGCATAATTAACACGAATACGAGCGACGGAAAATTTTCATTAATTTGTTAATTGCATTAAAATGTTACACTTCTATGTAAAAAGTCAATCGAGAATGAATATCATTTAACAATAGATCTCGTATCCTTACCAACCTTGAAAAGTACCCATCCATATCTAACTTGTTATCGTCCTCAGAACGATTGCTAATGGGGGGTGATATAATCACTTTGATTACTGAACAATATATAGCAACTATTCACCTTACAGCATATAACATAAAAGTATGCAATGTATTGTTACTTTTTATTATTGAATTCTTTGCTTTTTTTTTTCTTCAAAAATTAGCTTAATGTTGTAAATAATACAAGTAATAGTAATATTGCCTTTTATTTGCAAGTGTTTTCAAGATATTGTTTTGAATGCTCATATTCGAAAAACAGAGATCTACTCGTTTTTTTATTCTGTTTATAATGCCCATGCGTATGCGCTAGATATACCCGACAAAGTGTAAATAATATCGTTGGACGGACGAGTGATCATTTTCCGGTTAATAAACTTTTTACAAAAATGTGATGATACATGTAATTATTTAAATCATTTGAAAAAGCCTTAAGCCATGTAAAAGAAGCATAAAATATCAAAATATTTACATTTTAACAACAGTTGATGTGAAATTTAATGAGAATTTGGCGAAGCAGCCGCTAGCGATTAAATCATAATTTTGAAAATGTTGATTTCCCATTTTTTATGTAATAAAATATTCGTAAAATAAGAAAATGACAACGGAACTTTAAAAAATATATCCACATATTTTTTATTGGGGGAGGGGAACAAAATAAAGCTGATTAAATCTGATGCGAACCATCTTTAAAAATCTATAATGTAATAGCGAACATCGCTAAATTATTTCAATTAATCAATTAATTGAGTTTGCTGGTATTAAGCTAGAAAATTTAATTTCAGTTCCACATTCACCATTCACCATCATATCACCGTAAAGGGAATTATGGTTTACCGAAAATTAAAAAATATAAAATAATAAATGATAAATAATATTTCTCGGATACGGTCCCCATCACACTTCGATCGGGAGTATTCTTTCTAAGAGAAACACATTTGCACGTTTCCACCACAAGATTCTTTTATTTACAATCAATTTGTTTAAGGGTAGGATCATTTACATCGTACTTTGGCAATTTTCTTGACTTCTCAACTCCAATATTCTTTTTCGATTCAAACGTTCTTGTCCGACTCACTCCGCCTTCCGCAAATATTCTATTTATATACATTTTTACAAGCATATTACTATTACCTAAGTTTATGGCTTCATTTTTAATCCGTTAACTTGGTTAAAAATACTGCAGAGTCTAGTAAATAATAAGAACAAAGTTTATATACGACAACAATATTGAAGTAGATATCGATCGAACAATCGATATCTAAAATTGGGTGACATGTGATCTTTCCGTTTTCGATTAACTTAAGATTCTGAAACGGTGTCGCTGGCTTTATGTTTTCAATTTGCAAAAATTGCGATATAAAGCTTAAACTTAACATCTAAACAATTTCCGTGTATGCATTCGTTTTGATTGCAAAGTGTCCAAAATTCGTTATAAAAGCACATATATAAAAACATATTTTCCTAAATTACTTTTTTCTCGCTTTTTTCCTTTGGTTTTTTTTTTTAGGATACCTTTGTGAATATATTTGGGCGAATTCTTTTCCACATATTATATTATATTAGCGACAACGAAACACGTAGATGCGCCACCATTTTTTTCAAAATTAAAGTCAGGAGATTTTTAGGAATTTGTTATTCATCCGCTATCAATAACAATAGTAACCCCATTAATTGGGAGCCACTTGTATGGACGCGGATTCCATTAATGATCTCTTTTTATGAAGTCGCATTCTCTCCAAAGTTTGCAAAGCAAAAAATATAATATATATATATATATATATATATGTATACAAGTCTGTGTTTTTAGCCCGCACAATTATTTTAATGTAATTGCAATGTGGTACCCAAAATAGTTATTAATATAAAATTGCTCCAAAAAAAAAAACTGAATATATTCTTAAAAAATGAAAATTTCCAAGAAAAAATTAAAATTAATAACTAGTTCTTAACATATTATTGATTTATTTAATTGTTTAATTCTGGAAGATAAGAATATAATAATAATGTCATATAAATAGACATATATATTTATATAGATGAAGATAAATACTGCAGATTACAATGTACTTTTTTTAATAATTCCAAATTTTTTCATATTTCCTCATACAAAAGCCTTCATTGAAATTTGTTAACCCATTTGGCGAACACAAAATCACACAAATGAACGATAGAAAGAAAGCAAATTGTATGTGCTACAGCGTCCCTGACTTTATGGTCTTTTTTCGTATCTACACAACTGCTGTAGTCCATATGCGCTTAAAAGCATAAACTTGTATATGTTTTTGCTTTGCAAACTTTGGAGAGAATGCGACGTCACATTAAGAAGCCATGCCCAGAACGGAATCCATGCCCGTATAATTAATGAGAAAGAAAGAGCGAGTATACAAATGGCTGCTAATTAACAGGGTTAGCAGATGGAAAAAAAGTCCCTAAGAATCTCCTCCTAATCTTAAATTTGAACATAATGTTGGCATATCTATGTATTCAGTTGCCTGTGATAATGCATATAACATTACCATAAAATTGTTCTTCTCTCTCTCTCTCTCTCTCTCTCTCTCTCTCTCTCTCTCTCTCTCTCGCTCTCGCTCTGTTACTCTCTGTACCAAATTTGTACCAAACTCTAAAAAAAAAGTCGATAGATCTGTTTTATGTTTTATCTTTGCTTTGCCAAATTAAGGCACTTTTAGAAGTTGTATACAACGCTTCATACAACATACAACAATAATACATAAATTAATCGTTACATAATCACATGAAGTGAAATAATTAAAATATGTAACTATCTTTGTTTAGAAACATTCATGAGAAAAGAAAAATGTTTCTTGTGCATCGGACTGGTTGTGGTAAGAGTGAGTTTATTGATGTACGCAAATTCCAGAAAGTCTTGAATTAATCTCACTTTTAAATATACGAAGTAATTTGTTTGAATTATATTTTCAATCTGTATAAGTCACGTTTGTCGGTATAGTGCCTGTTTATGGACTTTTGTTTTTAAACTTTAGGGAAATTGGACGCACTAATCTATTTTGGCCAAAAGTCGAGCGCTTTTGAAAATAAATTTGGAGCCGTGTTTGCAACCATATCCTTTATTTGATGGAAATCGATAAATTAAAATCGTACTGAAGCTTCATGATGGAAACTGATCTCAATAACGATTTCACATATAAATCATTTTACTAAATTTAGATCACGTTCATCTATTTATAACGCTTTAACTTCGTGTTCTTCTGTAACTCAGCGAGCCAACAGGACTTTGTGCTGAGTAGAAAAGATTGGATTTGAACTTTTTAACGTGTTATACGTATCGTCGAAGGATAACAGGTATCAGTTTTGTCAAATCCACATCACAAAAAACACACACAAAAGGAAGCTTTCGAGACTCTTTAAAGTATGTATATTCTTGATTAGCATGAAATTCTGAGTTAATTAAGTCATGTCTGTCCGTCTGTGTGTTGTACGTTGTTGCCATTCCCGCGGTCGCAAAAATGTACAATATCGATTTCAAGTTTGGCAGAAACATTTGAACTTTGGCACATAAGTTGGCATGGAAAATGGGGAAAAAGGGTGGAAGGATGCGGATAGTTTATCACACAATGTGAGAATAGCTGTATCTTCAAAAACAAAAAAAAATCTCATTATTCATAAATTACAATCGATAAAACAGTGCAATTTTCCTCGTATATTCTTTGGACGGTCACTTCCGAAGCAAGTGTATACTCACGCAATATTATAGAATATTGAAATTTGATTCGTAACTTTAGCGATGCTATAAAGTGTACACATATTTTAGGTCACTATCAAATGCTAAGTTCCTCTAGGCATGCATGCCCTTCTGTCTGTTCGTCGTTGGGAATTTGTGTGATGAATATTCTCACAAACATTGGAAGTTCTTACACGAACTGTCACTTAAATTAGGAAAATGTCGGCTTCGAAACGCCAGAAAACGAACTATTTCGCTTATCAGCAACAAACGTAGCGATAGCTAGAAAGGATCTGGGAATATCTGAATATAATTTGCTTCTTTGTCTTTTTTTCGCCCATAACTAGTTGTGAAAAGCGTGAAACTGATTGAATTTTCGATAGGCTTTAAAAATTTAAAGGCAAAATGTAAGCGCATGGTCAGCTCACAGGTACGTTCAGTTAGCTGAAATAAGTTTCAGAAATATTGGATCGTACTTCAGGTGATGATAGAATCGAAGAGACAGCATCCTATAGTAAAATGAATTAGAGTGATTTTTATATATGATTATAGCTATTATAAAAAATTCAAAATTTTTTCCTTCATTTGTATAATTATGGCCTTCATTTTGCATAATAATTTCTGCCGTATTGGATAGAAATGTATTTTCCTGAAAAAACCAAATATAAAACGTTAGTTTGATGTTTATATGCGGATAGTTAGTTGAACATAAACTTTAAAGTTCTAACAACTTTGTTTGAATTACTTTTTATGTTAATTTTATTTGAATACTATATTAACTTAAAAAAATTTTTATATATAAACACGTTTCTTTTTTCATACATTTTACAAACAATTTTTCGTTTATTTGATATTTATTTATATATTATATAGTATATTTTGCAAATGTATTTATTTTGTATATATTCATATATATATATGTATATATGCATACACTATATAGACATGTTTTTTTTTTTTTTAAAAGCTACTGCGCCAGTCTTGGAACAACCACCACAAAACGTTACCGCATTAGATGGTAAAGATGCTACCATAACATGTCGGGCTGTTGGCGCACCGAACCCTAACATTACATGGATTTACAATGGTAAGTGTAAAGTTCAACATAAAAACCTATGAGTATATATTTGTATATATTATATATTTCTATTACTTACCGAGCATAATGACTTTAAATAATGGATTTCATTATTTATTAACGGAAAAAAAAGAAAATAAAACAATCATTGGTAGTCAAAAAATATATTGATTTTGTGAATTTGTTTGCAACAAAGAAATTTGATCAAGACACAACCAAGCATAACTGCGCTTCTAAACGAAATACGAAGAACGAAATTTGTTGATCGCCTTTTAATCACCTGATCATAGCGATATTTAAAGTATTCACAATACTTTTAAAACTAAGAACATTTTATTTTCCCCTCACCTTTTCCTTTGATTAAATCGTTCTCTTTTTATAAAATCTTGACTATTAATTCAGTATAAGCAGAAATGAATTTTGTACGAATAAATACGAATGAAATATAATTTCATCGTCTTATTTGTCCAAGTATTATCCCTTATGCGCACGATCACTAGCGCCGAAGCTGATTTAATGAGCTGCACTTCGCCTTATACTCAAAGTAAGAAAAGAGATTTTCTTACGGTTTTCCAAATTAATTCACACTTGATTCATATCTTTTTGGCGGGAGCCCCCCTTTGCGATTTTCAATGAGCTAATAATTGCCGGATGCCAGATTTGAAAATAGAATTAGAGCATAATGATCCCGTGGCCAAATTTTCATGCTTTCTTGCAATTTGTCAACACAGATTTTTTATTAAGGATGACATCTATGAAAACCTTTATGTAATGTGAGTACAAAAACCTCTCAAACAGTAAAATAATTTCTAAAGTCAGCTAAAAGACTGACATAGATATCATCTCAATCAAACTATTAACATTCGACTTCGTTTTGTTGACATTTATTGATAAGGCAACACATCACTCGATAAGTTGGTAAGATGATTAGTAACGAGTCTATGCACGTTACAATTGATTCGATGACGCTTCACACAAAATTCATTCCCATTTTTCTAATTGTTTTAGAAAAACAAAAATGGTGTCATGCCATAATGGTCAATGGCAATGTGATGAACGTTCCGTTTGAAGGTCGACACTGAATAAAAATCAGGTGGACTTGTCAATAGTCATCCTATATGTCTATATGTCACTCTACAAAACTTATTGAATGACGTTTTAAAGTTTAAAAACTGTCTGACAAGTCCGTAAATTTCTATGCAAATAATCGCATCAATTAAATCGAAAGGTTTGCTTACAAGGGTTATTAAAGAATTTAAAAATTTAAAAAAAAAAAAAAACACTTAGTTTTATTAAATAAAATAAAATTTAATATATCAGGCGTATAATCTCAGTTGTTTAAGAATAACAGTTATGCTGCTATAGACACACTCACAACAACTTAAAACGTGTTAGGCAGGTGCAATAAGCTTACAACGACCATCCATTAAATAAACTGAATTACTGGTCCGACTCCATTATTCAGAATGAAATTCCTATATATATTAATAATAGGGAGATGAAAACCGTTTTAGTAAGTGTACATGTAGGAATATGTGCGGAGAACACCAAAGCTATTTTCTGTGACAAGAGATGGGTATAGATGAGTGTAAAAATAAAGGTCAGTTTTGAAAGCAGGCGACGAATCTAGTGTTAGGAAATTTTTATGGAATAATTAATTAATATTTTGTAGTTAAAGGCAAAATCAAGCATTCAATACCGTACACCACCTCGTCTAATGTAACACTCATTTTTCTGTTTTCTTTACAAACTGCTATTGCAAAATATTATGTTGAAGAGCTTAAAGAAAATGGTTCCATTTCGTACAAAGTTTTGGATTAATTTACTATTTTCCAATGAACTATTTGCAAAAAATATTAAAAATCGAAATTTTTCCAAAATATATTATATTGTTATGAGGGAATGACGCGATCGTAAAAATTGTCCGTTCCAATTCATTTACCACAATGTTATTGCCTGAGCGAAAGCATAAAGAATGTGCTGAATTTCGTCAAATTATCTAAAAAATGGTAACTTGTACGGTGGACAGCAAAACTACATGGAGAGATATTACGCGGGCAGACAAAGGGACATATCTAAATCGCTGCAAAGGATAACTGTAAACCGATTGATATTGATTGATTACAAAGTGAATCGTAATGATTGCAAGTCCTTCTGAACGTTGCAAGCGTTCTACACAACCTTGAACTTACTCTGACGAAAAGTGGTGTAATATAATTTCCTTTATCAATAATGCTCACGTACATATATACTAATTGAATATTGATAACTAAAAAGTTTTTCCTTTATGTTAAATACAAATTTTTTCTTTAAAAACAGTTACGTAATTTGTGCCTGGTAAGCGAAGATTTTGCCTACACCGACCTATAAGTTTTGTTAATCGGTTCTTTCGTTAAATATCTCCTATAAGAAAATACAATTTTATAGATTATAATAATTTGTATGTATATATGCATTAAATATAATACTAATCTAATAAAAAATGTTTGCTTCTTTTATTTTTCTTTTATTTTTAATTTATCTATTTTGTCGCATTTAATAAAATAAACTAACCAAAAACCGCTATGTAACAAATAAATGGCTTTTAATGGTTGTCTGATGTCAATCTGTGCTTACTGTTGTATTTGTGTGCGTAATATGCGATTGCGTGCGTCTGCCTGCGACGCAAATGACAATAACACCGCTCTGGTCTATATGGACACGTTATGCGATCTGCTGAATGTATATAATATATAAAAACAACAATAAAAAAAAAAAAAAACAACAAAATATAAAACCGAAAACCATTTTAAAATGTAATGAATATTTAATATAATTGTATATTATGACAATAAATGTCAACGTGCGGTAAACAAATGCATTCTCATGCCTCCACTACATATATATACGTCTACATATGTGCACAAACAAATTTATATATATCGATGGCACTAAAATGTATAAAAACGCCAAATCTTAATGCATTTTTTTTTGTTGCGGCTAACAAACCAACGAACCGGAATACATGGAATGTGCTCATGAACGCAACACATGCAAACAACAACAAAATTTGCTGTCAATCTTGATTTGAACTGAATCCTTTTTGCGATTGGCACGTTATTGACACCAACTCATATCTTGTTGTTATTGTTATTGCTGTTGCTTTTGCTTTCGCTATTGCCGTTGATGCTAACATTGATCTGGCACTTGTTATCAATTGCTTACTGAAAACGATACCCTCTCAATTTGAAATCGAAAAAAAAAACTAACTACCGCTGCTGCAATCACATAGAGACACAATTGGTTGAAATTTCAAGTCGAGTACAAATCTTGGATTCCGGAGACTTATTAATATCGAATGTACGTGAATCAGATGCTGGCCTCTATACTTGTGTTCGTTCGAACGAGGCCGGCACTGTCAATGGTGAAGCATTTCTTGGTGTGCTGGGTAAGTGGCGATTTAAAAAAAATTTATATATATATATTTATATAAGCATTGGTGTTTGTGTCTGTGTTTGTGTTTGTATATGTGTGCGTGTGTTCGTTTTAGAATTTCGTATCGAAAAAATATTGGACCTAGCAATAACAACAACGTTTGTTGCTTCTTAATGTCGAGGTATATAATTGTATTAATTGAATGAACAAAATAATTCTATAAAAGAATGATGAACCGTGGCCCAAATACATGTGTGAGTATTGTATGTGCACTTATATACTAATAAAAGAGATAGCGTAACACTGAAACTGACATGAAACCATATAAAGTGATATAGTTAAATAATGAAATTTTGATATGAATTTTGATCTCTTGGGAGACTTAACATTTTTTGGACGAATTCAGATATTTGCACTTATTTTATTACCAATACCGAATTGCAAAGAATGAATACATTATTTAATTACACGCAAGTTAAATTTGAACAATTTTATTTATCCCTTAGTTAAAACATAAGTTTGTGCGCTCGTTAGTTGCAATCACTTGGCCATGTGTGATTTCTGATTCAAAATATTCGCAATTTAATTATGAATTTCAGTGGTCTTAGATGGTTTTGTATTTTGTACTTAATTGTATTTTAACCGACTTATTATGAAGTTTTATTTCATTCTTCTGGTTCCTCCCTATTCGTATCCATCTACGCACTTATCATTGCGTAGATGTACACGGATATGTGTAAATATATAAATCAGAATTTTGTGCCCAAATGATGATGATGATGCTTACATGTTAGAGTAAATTTTAGTTTAGGCACTGCGTGCTTAATGCTTCGTCCATGTCAATCTGGAAATGCAAATTGCAAAGACACTAAGTCTGTGCGTTACATTAGTCGGTAACAAAAGCTATTGACAAGCTCACGAATTCATGTTTAACAAACCGGACAGTGCCCCTCCATGCTTGTAATGGATTGGCGCTAAGATAAGCTATCTATCTCTCCCTCATTCTCTTTGTTTATGTACATAATGTATATATTAGCATTATATTCTATAGTGAGCATGATATTTGTATTTGAGAGTAAATTTTAATTTGGCGATTAGAAGATTTCTGTCTGGAATCGGACTGTAATTTATGCTACTCGATAAAAAAAGTTTTTAACAAACGCTTGATTTCAAGTTTAGCAAACTGAATTATATGCCACTATGTTGCGTTAATACTAAAACAATTTCGGCAGCCTATCTCCCTATCTTTTTTATTTCTTTCTGTTTTCCTTTCTTTCCCTTTGTCGCCTTCTCTATATAATTTTAAAAAAAAAGTACATATGAATTAAATTTATGTATAGAGTTCGTTTACATGCTGATAAAACACAAATATTTATGCATTATTTTTTGGCAAAGCCATACTTTTGAAGAAAGCCCTCATATTCAAGGATGCGTGAAACGTAAACTGAAGTGGTCCAAATTTAGCAAACTTAATTCACTTTTCAAAGATTTTACGATTTTTCAATTGCTTTCGTCATAAAAAACCGCCATCAAAAAAAGGACTTTGTTACAGGGGTGCTTTTCATAAGTACTTTCACATAAAATGGCGCCTAAAAAATGGATTAATGCGATCCAAAATTCCTCTGGTCAATTTTTACATTCCTACACATGAACGAATTTTCATTATATAATATCAAAAATTAGATTTTCTTGGCATATAACAGTCTATACTTCCTGATATTATTTATATGCGTTGATTTTCAAAGAAGTAGCCCTAATTGACCCAAACTTGATGCGGTTAAGTTTCATATCAAATTACTCTCACGGAGCACTTTCCTTCGTAAACTGCCAAAAATTAGGGATTTTTGCCATAAAAAAGACAATTTTCCGTTAGAAACTTTATATGGAGTAGGATCCGAAAAATAGACATATGTCTGCCTAATCCGCCTGAGTAGACGAGTAGATAACAATCGCGACTACCAAGCTAGTGTTCGGGAGTTCAAATCTCAAATGCGGAATAGTCTTTTTCGGTAGTAGCTATAGTGAAAGCTCAATTGGTAAATCTATAACAGTTATAGATGGGGCGCATGCGCACTGGCCTGCGGCCTCAACTCCCTATTTCTTTCTCTTTCCTCCTCTTCTTTCTGGCCATCCCCGTGTGAGACGAATAGGGGACATACACGGAGTGATTGGTTATAGCAAAAAAAAAAAAAAAAAAATGTGGTTCAAATTCGGTAAATTTAGGTTTTATGTCAAATTATTGTTATGAACACATTTTCCTCAAGAAACATTGAAAATGAAGATTCAGCTGTCGTAGTAGTGATTATAGAACATAAATTGACCCATCCGATCCCGAATTTTATTAATTCTCGGCGATTTTGAAAATTGAACTATTATTTTCAACAACGATATTTCAAAATAATGCATCATATATTGAGTAGTAGAAAAAATGATCCGATCAGGACCATTTTTCATAGGCTTGACACTTGAACCAAAGCGTGCTAGCATACCAAATTGCATCAATGTATCCCAAAAATCGCCATATACAGACTGAGCACAAATGGACTAGCCCGCATACGGGCAGATTGATTTCGGATTCTGAATCGATCAGTAAAATGAAAGGTAGGTATATTTCTAGTCCTTCTGCGTGTTGTGTACATCCGCACAAGCTTAATATGCCCTTATGCCGCAAGAGTCGTAAGGTGTAAAAAGTGCAGTTTCACAAAATAATAAAAAAATTCTGAATACCACATTTTTTTTTTTATTTATCGCCGATAAATTTATTAACTACATGCCTTTGTAATACACAATCAGGACAAATATTTGAGTGCATTTTTGCACGTTCATCTTTTTGGCCGCCCATCCGTCTCTCTAATATGTGTTGTTCCAACACTCATTCGCGTTCGTTTACAAAACGATTGAGACGGTACACTTAAACATGACGTATGCATTCTGTTTTGACTACGTGGTGTGGACGTGGTGCGACTATGAACATAACTACAATAGACCAGCCCACGGTTCATAAGAGGCAAAGTCAATTAAAACTTACTACAAATCTTCTCTATGGACGAACGATTGGAACACTTGTCGTAAATGAAATAATTTAACCATCCCTTGAGGCGGTGAATATTGAAAATTTAAAATTTTTTATTTGAATTGACTGATTTAAAGTGAGCGAGAGCCTTATATAAAATTTTGTTTCCTTTTTATATTCAATTTCCCTATTCGGTGTAGGAAAATACGTACAACTGACATATATCAGTATTTTTAAGGCGGGAAAGCAAATTTAGTTTACTTTGAATTTTGTGCGTTCTCAAGAAAGGGAAAGCAATAGTATTTTAACGGAAATAAACTGATAATTCTTCTTTCCCATATGTTAATAGTGCGAACACAAATTATTCACCCACCAGTTGACGCCACCGTATTGCTGGGATTAACCGCGTCGCTGCAGTGTACAGTTTCTAGTGATCCAACGGTGCCCTATAATATTGATTGGTATCGCGAAGGTCACCGCACAGCCATTAGCAATTCACAGCGAATTGGTGTACAATCAGATGGTACTCTAGAGATACAAGCGGTGCGTGCCTCTGACGTTGGCACCTATTCATGCGTTGTAACGTCGCCAGGTGGCAATGAAACTCGTTCCGCTCGTTTAAGTGTCATTGAGCTACCATTTCCACCGACTAACGTAAAAGCAACGCGTTTGGAGTCACTCGATCAAAGGGCCATAAATATCTCGTGGACACCAGGTTTCGATGGCAACAGTCCAATTTCAAAGTTCATCATACAGCGCCGTGAAGTATCCGAATTAGGTAAGTTTTTCAAATTTTTCGTTGGCAAACCCTTCAGAACACACAATACAATTTACTGGATTATTATTAAATGCGAGCAGAAGAGGTTACGGGCGCGCATAGATAGTTTTTGTGTGCAAGTTACTCATAATAATTAAAAGGATTTTCATGTAGCACGCTAGCCGCCAAACAATAGAATAATATGCATTCAATATATTACATATATAAGCGTTGTTTAGCTTTTATATGTAAATCAAAAGCAACAACACCAATAAACACCAATACCAACAACAACAATAACAACAACGTCAGCAACAATAGCGACAAGAATAATAACAATAAGAACAATAAAAAATTGATATTATGATACGTTGTTTCATAAGAATGTGCTGTAATTTTTAGCCCAAAATATTTAAATAAATGTATTTACAGTGAGTGTCATTAATATTGGGTTTTTTCGCCCGATAAAAAGTGAACGCTTGTTAAACCTAGGCCATTGTCGAAACATAAAAATTTCTTTTACCATTCTGTAAACAAAACGTTATTCCAGTAGACAAGAAAATTATATAACTTTAACAACTTTTCATATAAGTAAGGATACGAAGGAGAAAACAGTAAATTGTTAAAGATTAATATTTGGAGGGATATCCTTTTTCCTTAATAACGTCATTTAAATGTTTTGACATATTCAGTATAATTTTTGCCTGTATAGGCAACAGGGATCTTACTCCATTCATCTTATAGTCAATTTTTTAGGTTTTTGACGGAAGGCATTGAAATATGACGGGAAAAATGGACTTAGAAACGTGCCTTCCCTGTCTTACCTACCTATTACTCCTACCCCCTATTACTTCTTGTATCAACGGCTTACTGCGGACATTGCAATAGTCATATTACAGTTTGGGTATGAATTGGAGCCAATGGAGTCGGAAAATTGCTGTTTATGGATGGTATTCTAAACGAGCAGGGTTATTTGGGGATATTGAAGGCAAATTTGAAAGAAAGTGCGAACAAACTTGATATTTTGGCAACATACAAATTCTGCCAACAAAACGACTTCAAGCATAAGTCGCGCTTAATTCAAGAATGGCTCTTATATAACCAGCCCAAAGTGTTCACCCTCTTCTCCAATCACCAGGCACGGACCCCATCAAAAATATATGGCATGAATTGGGCCGCCATTTGCGAAAATACTCAGCAAGATAACCCACCGAATATTAATTTTTAATAATATGCTGTTTTTTTATCTTCGTATCCTTCCTTATACGAAAAAAAAATATAGTATTAGAAGTCTACTGGAATAATGTTTTAATTTTTTTTTTTATATTTTAATATGTACTCCGCAGTAGTACAAAATAGTAAAAAAAAATTTTTTTGCTTGGAGAATGAACTAGATTTAACAAGCGTTTACTTTTTGTCGAGCGGAAAAACTCAATATTAATTAGACTCACTGTACGTGTAGACTCACTGCACGAATAAAGTCCATGGTTGCAGATATGCTTGTGTGTGTCAGCGAATCACCCAACAACACCCTTGACCAAAGTGCTTAAACATAGGCATCTATGCATAAGTTTGTATGAACAAATTTTGATAAAGCTTTATTCAAAAAGAAGCAAAAAGCAAACTGCAACGTGAACCTACCAAATTGCTCTGGTTGAAGTTCAACAATCGTCCACACTATAAGAACATATGTTCAGATTACTTATGCACATATGCATACATACGTAGTGATGGTGTACATTGTTATAATTCCTTTGTTGCATTTTTATTTACAAAATATAAAAAGCAAAAACATCACTTTTCTCATCAACAATACGTTCTTTTTTTTCTTTCTTTTTCTCATTTTGTATTTCGTTTTATTGTTTCTTCTCTTTTACAAACTTTTTTCTTTTTCGATATATCGCGAAAAAAACTAAACTTTATATGTAATACACTTGAAAATTTTTTTAACCAAAATATACATCATATATATGTGATATATATAAAAAATTTATCGCAATGGCCGCCTCTGGACTGTAACACAAAATCGACGCCCTCTGTGCTTATATGTTGTAAATCAACTGAACAACGTACCAAACCAACTGAACTGAATAAACTCAACGTTAATGCAAATGCCAAACACCCGGTCGACAATAATTTGTATAAACTATTATTGTCCGTCGTACGTCGGTTTATAAAACTTGATCGTTTATCAACATCGTTGATATTATTGTGGATGCTCTTTCAACTAATTTAACGATATAATTTAATTCCCAAAACCCTTTACTTCTCCTTACATACACACATTATCACTTAAAATTTCCACTTTCATTAACATCATAGAAAAATTCGTAGGTCCTGTACCTGATCCATTGCTTAATTGGATTACGGAGTTAAGTAATGTTTCATCGGAGCAACGTTGGATCTTATTGCGAAATTTAAAGGCCGCTACAGTTTATCAATTTCGTGTCAGTGCCGTAAATCAAGTCGGGGAAGGCTCACCTTCAGATCCCAGCAATATCGTTGAATTGCCCCAAGAAGGTAAATAAATGCTTATCATTCGTATTTATTCTCTGTATTTATGTTGCGTGAATTTTTTTTTGTTTTTTATTTGCATTTACTCCTTTTTTATTATTTTTTAGTTATTATTGTTTTACTACATTTTTTATAACAACTCTTCATTAAAAACAAGTAAAAAGTATTCTTGATCGCTCGCTAGATGAAATGCACAATAGATTATACATCACACTTGCGACAACTATCACTAGAAAAAATATATAAAATCTATAATTAATCAATATTTAGGAAGAAATTTAGCGAAGGAGGTCACTGCAAAATTGATAGATTAAGAAAAGGACTTTGTTTTTATCTGGCTTACATTAGTATAAGCTATTTCTGCTTCTTTACGCGGTGCTACTTTCTTCCTAATAATTCAAATGTTTAAATGCCAATCTCCAGTCAGATATGACATAGCCCAAAGTGAATCCCCAGCAAATCTCTGAGTAGAAGCGGTTCTTTCTGATACCAAGAGTGTCATCACTGTGTCGAAACAATCTTCGTTGTAGATTGACATCGCGGATCGGGCGTCTGGGAAACTTCAAAGTGGGTACAGTTTTCCTAAAATTTTGCGGAAAGCATTGACGCGCTAGAGTGAAACGTGCACTACTATACCCGTAGAAAAGCAGTGACTATGAATAGTGTGCATCCTTCAATACCGGCGAAACGAAGACGAATCTGCATAGCATGTCGTTAGTAGTGGTAATCAGGGACCATTGAATGACATAAAATTAACGTTGATTAAGCTTTGAAGCATCTATGTTATATGCTCTATTTGCGAATAGCTCCACACAAACGAAGAAATTAATAGTGTACGACGACACAGTAATCGAAGAGAACTCTTAACATCACATTGATTTTTGAGCGCGTTTGACGCAGCTTTCTCGCTTTTGGCTCATCTTTTGCACAATATCCGCTCGATTGATCGGTTGTTTCCGGATTGCGCGCGTAGATCCAAGTCCGATTAACACATTTCAAAAATCACGCAGTTAAAACACTAAAATGCGAAACTTAACACAAGCGTTTGCTGCGGTGCTACCAATTTTGGGAAAAAATATTTCTCATATCCAATATACCCTCACAATATACCCTCAGATTCTGAATAGATTTACTCCCTTTCGTCCATAAAAATTATCGCCACTCGTAGAAAAGCAAAAATAAGTTTACTATTTATGGCAGAAAATTGTCGAAGCACGGCGAATACATCTGCGATTTCGATTTACGAGTGCAAAAAGGATAGAGAACGGCCAACCCAATCGAAGTAATAAATATCGGAAATCCAGACCAACCGAATATAAGTAATTGTATATTGTATGGGTAGTGATCGATATCTCGCAAAGTATTTATTAAACAATTTCAAATTTATGCTCGTTAGAAATGTAACATTTTGCACTAACAAAATTCTTTTCCTGTTTTTCATTTGATCGGTTCAGTTGTGAGTTACAAGGGTCTTAAAAATGAAAGGCAGCAAAAAGAAAATTCGGTACGTTTTACAATTTTTCTTTGATAAAGGCGGAAAGGCAAGTCAAGCGGCTAAAACTCTAAATGCAAAAAAAACCGTTCCGATACAGAAACAGCCGATTACCTGCAGTGTTAGAATCGTCGATACCGTTCAAGAATTTTTGATGTTAAAGATATACCTCACACGGGTAGACCCGGATGATCGAAGTTGAGCGGGACATTAACAGCCGCAGCATCAGCCAGGAGCTAAAGATCGACCATAAAATAGTTTTAAACCATTTAAACAAAGCTGGATTCAAAGAGAAGCTTGATGTTTGGGTGTCACACCAATTAACGCAAAAAAGACATGATGGATCGAATTTCCATTTACGAAGCTTTGGCCAAAAGAAATGATGTCGACTCATTTCTTAAACGGATGGCGACTGAGGATGAGAAATGAGCCACATACAACAACATTGTGCGAAAACGAACGTGGTGAAAACGCCCAAACCAGGACTAACGGTCAGGAAGGTTATGCTGTGCATTTAGTGGGACTGAAAAGAAATCATTATTGTACGGCGAAGCACTAAATTCAGATCTCTACTGTCGTTTGAAACCAGCGATCGACCATAAATGGCCAGAATTGGCCAATAGGAGAGATGTTCCTGGTTCCAAAAGGCCACACATATCTATAGTGACTCGCCAGAAACTGCGAGAGCTAGATTAGGAAATTTTAATGCATCCAACATAGAGTCCGAGTCTGAGCTATAGGAAATTGACATCAAGGGAAGATTGTAAAAATAGATTCCTATATCAATAGCGACCAACGCTTCTATAAAAGACATATTGTGAAGCCATCTTTAAAATGGCAACAAATTATAGAACAAAACGGTGCAAATTTGCCCAAAGTTGATAACCCGGCACTTGTTATATAAAGTCTTAATGTTCACGTTAAAATAATGGATTTCCTTTTCCCCGCCCTAATATTTATACTCTTATAGTACCTGCTACACATTTGAGATAAAATAGATTATTCGGCCAGAACCGGCTGAAAAAAGCCCAAAAAAAACTGCCAGCAAACACCCATCACAAATGTTTTTGAATTATGGGTAGTAACATCGTAGAAGTTCTTGTGCAAAATTGAATATGGACCATTTCTTCTTTAAACCCAATTTTGAAAAAGACCCTTGTACGAAAACAGTGTCTCATTTTTCATATTTCTCGACCAAAATCGACAAAATATAATACCTCGGCATATGAAATTGAAAGTGGAAAATTAGGATAGAAATGTAAGCCTCCCATCTAAACGCTTTTAAGAGAAATAAATGAGTGATGTAACTTGAGAAATTGACTTACGCGCTGCAGTAAAGATTAGTGTGCTATAACGAATTTTATCAAGTTAATATTTCTCTAAAATTGCGTCCAATTTAATGCTAAAAGTCTTTAAGTGAATATGTTCGAAGACCTGCAGTTTGTCTAGAGAGATCGAATAATGGCTTTTAATTGACTTTCGAACTTGATATGATAATTATATAAGAACCATAAAGTTAACGCACAGACGATTCTAACTAGGTAGCGCTATATATGCTTATTGAAAATGCATATACCATATGGGATCTTTGATGCAATATTACTTCTATATAACCGAGTGACAAAGAAAAAACAAGTAAAGGTAATCTTCAACGGATACCAGAAAAATTTTTCAAAATTGTTTGTTCCCACAATTTGTAGTTCGTGTTCACTTTTAAGGAGTTGTATGTCTGTTTGCGTTCAGGAATTTTGCTGCAAATTTTTCTTGTTTATGTTTTAAATTATTGAACATTTTGCCATTATATTATATTTGTTTGCAAATTTTTTCGAGTTTTTATTTAACCATTGTTTAAAATTAAATTGTATCCTCAATGTAATGCTAAGTAAAATTTTTTCCGTACATATGCACACTGGGGCTATGGATATGTCTAACGTAGAATTACCGCTTCATCGAGGTATATATGTCCTCTTATAAGCTACCTTAGGTCTTTTTAAAACACATTTGTCAAAATACTTCACACGCTAATATCTGTCTGTTATTATATTTGTCACTTAGCTCCGTCTGGACCACCGGTAGGATTCGTTGGCTCAGCTCGTTCACAATCGGAAATTATCACTCAATGGCAACCTCCTCTGGAGGAACATCGCAATGGTCAAATATTAGGTTATATAATTCGATACCGTCTGTTCGGTTACAACAATGTACCCTGGATGTATCAAAACATAACTAATGAAGCTCAGCGTAATTATTTGATACAAGAATTGATTACGTGGAAGGATTATGTAGTGCAAATTGCTGCCTATAATGACATGGGTGTGGGCGTCTACACCGAAGGTGCTAAAATTAAAACAAAAGAAGGTGTACCAGAGGCTCCGCCTACAAATGTAAAAGTTGTCCCCATAAATTCAACATCGGTGAGAGTTACCTGGACCCCGCCAAATCCTCAACAAATAAATGGTATCAACCAAGGTTATAAAATACAAGCTTGGCGTTATCAAATGATAGACGATGAACAGCGCGAATTTGAAGAGCGCATGATTACAGTGCCGCCCAGTCTAATTGATCCTGTGGCTGAGCAAGCGGCCGTTTTAACTGGACTCGAAAAGTTTAAAGATTATAATATAACTGTGCTTTGCTTCACAGATCCCGGGGATGGTGTAAGAAGTTACAGAATAGCTGTTAAAACAAAAGAAGATATTCCTGATGAAATTACTGCTTTGCATTTCGATGAAGTCTCTGATAGGTCAGTTAAGGTTTTGTGGGCTCCTCCCAAGAATTTGAATGGCTTATTAACAGGCTATACGGTTCGTTACCAAATGAAAGATAGACCGGAAAGCATGAAATCAGTTAATTTAACAGCTGATGACACTCAGTTGATAGTGACGCAACTGCAAGCGACAACTCATTACTGGTTTGAAATAAGAGCTTGGACTCGTATTGGTGGTGGACCTCCAAAAACTGCCACTATACAATCAGGCGTGGAACCTGTCCTGCCTGAGCCACCTACTAATCTGGCTTTATCAAACATTGAAGCTTTCTCAGTGGTACTACAATTTACTCCTGGCTTTGATGGTAATTCCTCAATAACCAAATGGAAAGTGGAAGCACAAACAGCTCGAAATTTAACATGGTTTACCGTATGCGAAATATCGGATCCTGACGCTGAGACTTTAACCGTGACAGGTCTGACGCCTTTCACGCAATATCGATTGCGTTTAAGCGCTACCAATGTGGTAGGTGCATCTAAGCCCTCCGAACCCACCAAGGATTTTCAAACGATTCAAGCTCGTCCAATGCATCCCCCTTTTAATGTAACGGTCAGAGCTATGAGTGCTACGCAGCTAAGAGTGCGCTGGATACCTTTGCAACAAAGGGAATGGTTTGGGAATCCTCGAGGCTATAACATTACTTTTCGTCAAATGGAAAGTGATAACAAAGTAGCTCCTAAAAGTGTCCTAATCGAAGATCACACCGCCAATTCCCACGTTCTGGAGACTCTCGAGGAATGGACAATATATGAAGTACTTATGAATGCTTGGAATGATGTAGGGTGTTCAAAGGACAGCGCTACAGCCGTTGAACGAACCAGAGAAGCTGTACCGTCTTATGGACCTTTAGACGTACAAGCCAATGCTACGTCTTCCACAACTATAGTAGTACGTTGGGGCGAAGTTCCGAAGCAACACAGAAATGGTCAAATTGACGGCTATAAAGTTTTCTACGCTGCTACAAGCAGAGGAGGTCAGGTTTTGCATAAAAGCATTTCAAGTAATAGCTCATTTACTACCACGTTAACAGAGCTCAAAAAATTCGTCATTTATCACATTCAAGTAATGGCTTTTACACGTTTAGGTGATGGAGCTCTCAGTACGCCACCGGTACGAGTGCAAACCTTCGAAGACACGCCAGGTGCTCCTTCTAATGTTAGCTTTCCCGATGTTTCGTTTTCAACTGCCCGCATTATATGGGATGTACCTGATGATCCCAATGGCGAAATTCTAGCATATCAAGTTACTTATTCCCTAAATGGAAGCACAAACCTAAATTATAGTCGAGAATTTTCACCATCTGATCGTACATTTCGAGCTGCACAACTTTTAGCTGAACGTTATTATACTTTCAGTGTAACGGCCCAAACGAGATTGGGATGGGGTAAGACTGCCTCCGTGTTAGTGTACACGACCAATAATAGAGAACGACCCCAGCCACCCTCAATGCCTCAAATATCGCGCAGTCAAATTCAGGCTCATCAAATTACATTTAGCTGGACACCGGGTAGAGACGGTTTTGCTCCACTACGTTATTATACAGTACAACTGCGAGAAAACGATGGACCTTGGTTCTTACTTCCAGAACGTGTAGATCCTACTTTAACTTCATATACAGCTACAAATTTAAAACCTCATACTACATACCAATTTCGTTTACAAGCAACTAATGACTTGGGACCATCCTCTTTTAGCCGTGAAAGCATTATAGTACGCACACTTCCTGCGGCGCCTTCTGTAGCTGTTTCGAATCTGAAAGTTGTACCCATTACCACAACTTCGGTACGCGTACAGTGGAATGCTTTAGAAACTTCTATGTGGAATGGTGACGCTGCTACAGGGGGTTATCGTATTCTATATCAACAGCTCTCGGATTTTCCAACAGCGTTGCAAGCGACACCAAAAACTGATGTAATGGGTATAAACGTAAATTCAGTAGTCCTCTCAGACCTACAACAAGATCGAAATTATGAAATTGTCGTTTTGCCGTTTAACTCACAAGGCCCAGGACCGGCTACGCCACCAGTTGCAGTTTACGTGGGAGAAGCTGTTCCGACGGGTGAGCCACGCGCAGTAGATGCTGCTCCTATATCCAGCACTGAAGTGCGTTTACGCTGGAAACCGCCCAAACAAAGTATGCAGAATGGCGATCTACTGGGCTACAAAATATTCTACTTGGTTACAGATTCTCCTCAAGAACTGGAGGACGGCAGAAAGTGGGAAGAGGAAACGGAAGTCGTGTCTGCCACGGCTACTTCACATAGTCTAGTGTTTTTGGATAAATTTACTGAATATCGTATACAAATTTTGGCATTTAACCCAGCCGGTGATGGTCCACGCTCGCTTCCAATTACAGTTAAAACGCTACAAGGTTTACCTAGTGCTCCGCAAAATTTGAGATTCGAAGATATAACCATGCAAAGTCTAAAGGTATCGTGGGACGTACCGAAATTTCGTAATGGCGAAATATTAGGCTATTTAGTAACTTATGAAACTACCGAAGAAAATGAAAGTAAGTCCATTTTTTTTTTTTTTTTTTTTGATAATATCCTTTATATTTTTTGATTTTCTAAGTTATGCTTTTCATTCAACTTAGAATTTAGTAAACAAGTGAAGCAAAAAGTGTCCAGTACTAGTCTTCTAGTGCAAAATTTAGAAGAAGAAGTCACCTACACATTTACTGTTCGCGCCCAAACAATTGATTATGGTCCCGCAGTAAGTGAAAACGTTACTACTGGCCCGCAAGAAGGATCTCCTGTAGCGCCTAGAGAGCTGATATTAGCAAAGACTTTATCCAGCGTCGAAATGCATTGGGTTAACGGTCCTTCGGGACGTGGGCCAATCTTAGGTTATTACATTGAAGCCAAAAAGCGCGGTGAGTTCATTTTATTACTTTATTACATAAACAATGCATGACTGTTTGGGTAAAAATAACATTTTTTACGCGACTGTTTTTTCCACGCCATGATCATCATTAAGACACATATAAAGTTTATTACTACATTAGTAGAGTTGTCAATATATACCCATGGTGTGCTTCAATATGAAAATCACTGAATTGGATAGAGATGTGACTTGTAAACTATAGTCTACGAATGTAACAATAAACTTAATAGTGGATGTATAAGATTCTAACGGGTGTATTGGTTTATAAACTTTAAGTTTTTTTTTACAATTTCGTCTTTCCTCTACTCTTTATTTCATTGGTGCGCTGTACTAATTAACTACTTAAGTAGAAAAAGGAGAACCGTCATTCATTTGTAAGTATGGATTATTGATATTATTATTATCTCATATATTATATAAAAAACATATATATATTTCGAGAAAAATTATAACAAATTTCCTTATAAAGGCGAAAAATTATTTTCATTTCTCTACAGATGATTCGCGTTGGGAAACAATTACGAAAACAACCACCGGAACCACACAAGACTTTACCGTGAGTTATCAGAGTCTTTTGCCTTCCACTGCGTATACATTCCGTGTTATAGCCTATAATCGTTTTGGCATTTCATTCCCTGTTTATTCGAAAGACTCAATACTAACATCCTCCAAATTACATTTAGAATATGATTATTTGCAACATAAACCGTTTTACCGGCAAACCTGGTTTATGGTGGCTCTTGCCGCCACATCCATTGTCATAATTATAATGGTTATAGCAGTGTTATGTGTTAAAAGCAAAAGTTATAAATATAAACGTAAGTATGAAGATGCTTTAGCAAGATCGAAGTAAAAAAGTGTTATGTCTATATATTTTTATTTATTTATTTATTTTTTCTTTTAAATAGAAGAAGCTCAAAAGACATTAGAAGAATCAATGGCCATGTCTGTAGATGAGAGACAAGAGTTGGCTTTGGAATTATATCGATCGCGTCATGGCGGTGGCACCGGTACTCTAAATAGTGCGGGTACATTAAATAGAAGTACTTTGGGCACAATGAGCAGGAAAGTTAACAGTCGGCCGCCAACCAATGTACAACTGGGAAAAAGTCCACCAAGACCATCGCCAGCATCGGTAGCATATCATAGTGATGAAGAAAGCTTAAAATGCTATGACGAAAATCCTGACGACAGCAGTGTTACAGAAAAACCTTCCGAAGTTAGCTCTTCAGAAGCTTCACAGGTAGGCTTATAGATAAACATACATCAAAAAAGTCAAGCTATTTTTCTACAAATTTCGTTGTAGCACTCGGAAAGCGAAAACGAGAGCGTACGCTCTGATCCACATTCCTTTGTTAATCATTACGCTAATGTCAATGACTCTTTACGCCAATCGTGGAAAAAACAAAAACCAGTGCGCAATTACTCGAGTTACACTGATTCTGAACCAGAGGGCAGTGCAGTGATGAGCCTCAATGGCGGTCAAATTATTGTTAATAATATGGCCAGATCGAGAGCACCACTGCCTGGCTTCTCCTCCTTTGTCTGACAATCAACGGAGTTCTAAACCTAGATACTTAACAAAAACAACAAACGAAACGCTAAAAAAAAAAAAGAAAGAAAATAAATCATTTAAGATTAATTTACATACCAACACAAAAGGGAAACCCTCATCAAAACCATTTTGAAATTGGTTAACTACAAATGTCTGCCTATTTATTAAAATAAAACACGTTTTATTATACTTCTTAAGATTAACTAAGGTTTACTAGAAAATTAAGGAAATTGTGTAGCTTAATGTAATAGCTCCTAAGGTACCAGAATGCATTCATTTCTATACAATTTGATAGAAAAATATTTTTGAAACATATTTAATTTTTTTGAAACCAATCATTCATTATAGCTTAAATGTTGAAGTTTTTTTAGTGCGAATCCATGAAAAAAAACTATATGAATTTTAGTAACATACCTAAATGCATATTCAAAATTACATATCGTTATCTAAAAACTAAAAAAGGCGTAATCAATATATTTTGCAGATAAAATACTTTTTATGAATTGTAGGGTGGATAGATGCCATGTCGTTTTATCAAAGTTTCTAAATTTTAGTTCGGTCAACTAGATAGAAATCTATCTAGATCTTTTTTTGTAGGCCCACAGCAAGTAATTATTATCAATCGCCTAAAACCCATACACATATATAATGCATAAACCGATGGATGGATTTGAATGAACTATCTATATATTAAAAGCTCAGTTCATAATATTTCCGTATAGTATACTTTCAAATTTCCGATCAATTTCTGTCATAGTTGATTTCAAATGAAGCAAATATAAAGTCTCCATTAATAGGTTCCCCCGTATTCCGCTTTTAATAGCTCGACGCTTTCGTCAGCCACACAACCCCATTACGCCGTCGCATTTAGGCGTATAGCCAATCACGATTGACCGTTAAGTTCAGTCCTTGCTTGTAACAACACACACAAGGGCGGCCCCTTTGACCAACTGACGTGAATTGCTGGGGACACGCGAAACGGGACATATTTAAACACGCATTGAGCCAAAGGCGAGTTTTATTGCCGAGAATAATTTAACGATTGAAATTGTTATTTCCCATGAAACGAGTTTTGATGCACTATAACTCACATGAAATTGGTGTCCGTTCTGTTTCAGTTCTCGAATCAACCTTCTATCATACGCATCCCAACTACAAATCTTTATCGAAAATATGTAACAAACTGCTTGCATCGATGTCTAGTTATTTCGAATCATTCATAAATCAATAAATTTTGTTTATCATCATACCCAGTGGCCATTTTCATGACTATGCCTCATTGGCACGAGAACATTAAGTACTGTTTACCATTTTAAATCATTTCACCTGATACGTAACTGACCGGCTATTCGAAAGGTTGATGGGAACTAGAAACTTGACTTTATTGAAAACAAATTGTGTTAACAAATTTAATTTAATTGGCGATTGTTGCTGAACCAAACACCGCTCGCTGGTTAAGTTTCAAAGTTTAGTAGACCATTCAATATTCACAAAATTCCGTTCGCCAACGTTATAGCTTCTTTAATATATTCCCCTCTTAAAAAGTTGTGATCAACCAATTGATATGCCAAGGTTTAAACGTTAACGATCGCAGAACAGGCATGAAAAGCTATAAATTTTTTAATTGAAGGACAAAAATCGCACTGATAAGTATATTTACGAACTGATAAAAGCTATTTTGTTGATATTTTCAAATCCAACTTGTATAAAGGTCACTTATAATCCAAACTTTTATAAAATTAGTTTGATGGTTTCTAAGATTTCTTTTCTCTTTATCCTGATTATCTTACATTATTTCGAAAATAGTACGGCAGTAAAATAATTGCACTTCTTAAGTAGGTTTAAATTGGCGAGTATTAAAAATTTCCTATAAATTTAAATGTAACTTTCTTCTTGTTTTTGCCGAAATTTTCCTTGCGAAAGCCTATTATGCTTGGATATAAATCATTCTGAAAATGGTATTTTAGAGCACCAAATTATTGGACTGAGTAAAATAATCACATGAATCCATTCAAAATTGATTTTTCTTTAGTGTATGTCTGATATGGGATTTCCGGGTGTTACGTGCGGATTAACAACATTATTATCATTAATACATTATTACTATATGCCCTTTCTGAAGTGGTGGATATTAAACCTCACAAAATATTTATTTACGCCTTTTATAATTTTAGGTGACGATGTACAGAATGTGTACATTTCACTCATCTTAAGATCTCCAAACTTAAAGGCGTCGTTACATTTAAATTTAAGTCAAGGTAGCTCGCTTTTTTTATGTGGATCATTATACAAAGGAATTTATTGGCGAAATCAAATATATATGTATATATGTATTGATTTTGTATTAAAAATTAGTATCTTGATGTTCAACCGATGTCATCTTATCGATAAAGCAATTTAAGAAAAGCGACTTACATAACACTTAGGTCCAGAGAACTAAACTTTATTGTTATTGTTCGTTCATTCATCTATTTTCTAATAACTTTTTATCAAACTAAATAATTCATATTTTATAAAAATTAATTTTTTTTCTATTTATTTTAAAGTTTAAACATATAAATATTTAAATATACTTTTTACGGAATATTGCTTTCATAAAAAATATATTTATTATTTTTTTACAACTAATGTGCTTTTGTAATGCCTTCGCTTAGGTGAATTTTTTATAGTTTATTTTCTTAAAAAAGGCTGATCTAATCAGCTTAGATTTCATGAGTATATATCTTAAGTAAAATTAGTAACTTTCTAAAATACAATTCGATTTAATTCTGATTATCTCCCACTTGTAAATGTAACTGAATTTATATAGTAGTGTTTCTTCTTTTTTTTTTTTTTTTAATTGACTGTAGGCCATATTAAGAATGCAATTGTTGCAACCGTTACAGTATGAGTAGCTCATACTTTACATGGATTTCTATAAGAAATGAACTCATTATATGTATTTATTAAAGTTCTTTCAATTAACTCATAGAAAAGCGAAAACATTGTCTATAGACTGATTACATTTATGTATATAAGTATTTCTATGTATTATAATTATTATTACAATTATAGTTATTATTTTTTTTTTACTTTCTAAAGTGCAACTTTGGCTAATTCTAGCATAATTTTCGTTTTTATTTTCCAGGTTGCTCAAATATTATATTATATGTACACTTATTTATAACTTTATTCTTAAATCGAAATTTTTTTTTTTTTTAAACCCACCACTGCAAGATAACGATATACTCAGTTTGTTTTTTTTTTTTCGTAATGCATGTAACTTCCAAAAGAAAGCTTGAAAGACCCTATGAATTATATATATTCTTGATCAGCGTGAAATTGTGAGTTGATTTAGCCATGTCTGTCCGTCAATGTGTCTGCGCGGTGTTTATTGTTGGCATTCCCCTGGTCGCAAAAATGAAAATCTCGACTTTATATTTGGTAGAAACATTGAATGTTTTTTCGCGCAAATTGATAATGAAAATGGGCCAAATTGGCCAGAGCAGACGCCCGCAGTGGACCATTAACTAAACGCAACTTCGTTTTTCTTAACAAACATTTTCTAGATTTTTGCTCGTTTCTCAAAAGTTATAAAAGTTAGAAGGCTGACATTTTTCATACTTACTTTACGAAAGAGTCCGCTCTCTATGTCCAAAAAATGGGAAAAATCGACTATGCCCACGCAAAGTTACAATTCATTAAATTTTATTTTTTCACTTTTTTGAGGTTTTATGCTTACAAACGCAAACAAGACAAAATATTTAAAATTATTTTGGACATTGCACCATTACCTTACCTTACCTTATTTGCTTAAAAATAGGTTAATTCTAAAATGGGCCCCCCGAGACTACTTTTTTCTTTTTAATAATATCAGCGATAGGTATATCAAATAAAAGAATTTGGACAGTAGAATGCGAAAAGCATAGTGGTGGGTATGCGTGGTTCGGCCCGCTTCGAATTTAACTTTTTTACTTGGTGTTTCTCTTATTATACTTTCCATTAACATAAAGCAAGAATTTTTTTAGAATTTCCTTTTTTATTTACTAGAATTAACTTCTTTAACTTTTAAGTTATTATTGAAAGATTAAAAAACTCACAAAACGATAGTGAATGCGGGAAAAAGTATTACAAAATGTACTTGATAAATAAAAAAAATAAAAAAAAAAACGATTGAATATAAGAAAAAAAAGTGAAAAGAAGAATGCAATTTTTTAATTTTATTTCTAGTCGATTCGAGGGGAGGGAAGGATGGATTCAAAAACGATACGAATGCTAATAAGTAATAAGTAAGAATATGATATTCGGTTAGTGTATGTATCGAAAATCATATTTTATACAATTTCGCAGTAGTCTTGAAGGTACAACGGCAATCTAAACACCATATTTACATATCCCACATTATGTGTATATGATTTCCTGATAATTATAAACGAACCCTTAATCTGATTTGACCGGTTTTTCAACTTGACAAAAACAACTGACGAAAATTTTAACAGCCATACAAAGATCTCTAAATTAAGAACTTTAAAAATTGAAACTCAATTTTGTAAAAAAGAAAAAGAAAATTGCCGAACTGATGATTGAAATTCTTTGACTTTCGATGCTAACTTGCGAAGAAAAAAAAATATTTCTAGACCTACTTTTGTAGTTAGTGTATCGCAATACGGAGTATGGAGACGAAACCTATTGCGTTATTCACGTGTTAATAGTAGAATAATATATTCTCAAACCTTTATAATGTTACGAAAATCCCAAATTCAGTTAAATGTCAGCTAAGTAATTTTCGTAAGAATAAATTCCCTAAAGAAGGGAAAACCAAATGAGCATTTGCAGGCGCCTCATGCAGCTGCAGGCCAATGAAAACGATTAGTGGAAAAGCAAACAGGTAAAAGCTAAGTGCATATTCGCAGGCCTGTCATGCAGGTGCAGGCCGATGGAAACGATTAGAGGAAAAACCAGGCTGGGATTAGACCATAACCATGAATTTAGGTATAGTAACATTCTTGTAAAATTGTATATAGATCGAATATTTGTGAAAAGTAGAGTTAGTCTGGCAAGAACGTAGAAGTTGAAAGTACGGCCGAAATAAATTGTAAATAAATATTCCTACTGTTGTGAAAGACAAAGTAGTAAAATAAAAAAACTTTGAAGTGCATTTCTCTTGATCAAAATATCGACGATCTAGTGATACGGACTGTATCTTGTAAAAAGCGAATTTCATAACAATAAGTTAATAAAATTTTAAATAAAAAATTGCGTTCGACTACACAACAACTTCATATCTATTTCTTATTGTAATATATCCATGACATTCTTGCAGACTGTTTGTGTGCGTTTGTATTTTTGATGGGCGTGTAGAACGAAATGGCATGTCTGTCTGTCCGTCAATTGGAATGTTGCGATTACAATAAATGTAACCAGGATAATCCATGTTTCGCAACGTCTTGCATATATATTAAAATCTTGATTTTTCTAAATTATTATTTCAATACTATAGAACGGTCTATACCATAAGCTACTTTTGAACCGTCATTTCGCAGCGCATTGGCAGCGTCATTGCTTATGAACAGGAAACATAGCCCATCAAAAAAAAGAACTGAAAACATGTAAGAGAGCTATAGTCGTAGAAGGCTGAATATTATATACCCTATACAACTTCACTTAGTGAATAATAAGCAAAAATTTTACATAATTTTATGTAAATGCATAACTCTCACATTGGAGAATATTCGAACGTCGACGTGGACCAAATTTAATTTACTTGTCAACGATTTTATTATTTTCCAGTTGCTCTTCCGTCATAACAAATTACAAAGTACGCTTTCTCGCTTTAGAAGGGTTTGCTTTCATGAGGATCCCTACATATGGTGGGTTTTAACATATATGTCTACGTGATACAAATTTCCTATTTTTGATTTTCTAAAGATAAATTTTCATCACATAATATTAAAAATTAAACTTTTTGGACATATAAAGATTCAGTTTCCGTTGCAACGGTTATATGGCAAGAGACTTAAAAAAACGCCCCATCCGAATCAATTTAGAGCACTCAGCGACTTTTGCCGCTAAGTTCGAAAAATTACAATAATTTTTCTTAAAACGGCTCATCAAAATAAGGCGGTATGCGGTGAGCGGTCGAAATAATAGTCCGATCCGAACTATATTCAATAGCGTGCGTCCTTGGACCAGAACATATCAGTCTATCAAATATCATCAAAATATCCTAAAAAATGCGACCTGTAAATTGAACATGGGCTGATATCAGACAAGCTTAGATCGATTCAGAACCATTTTCTGATGGGGACATAATAAAATGTGGGTCTCTCTCTAACCCTTCCGGATATTGCCACCGTCGGCACAAACTTAATATAGCCACTTAATACACCACAAGTGGTGTAAGAAATAAGAGGTAAAAGAACAATTTTCGTTCTCAAGCGGACCTTGGGCAACTGTCGCCTCTGAAAATCGGTTTTTTTTTGTCTTTTAGTGTAAATAATTACTAATCGGATAATCATCGTTAAATTAACCGTTAAATTAAAAGTTTCACATTTTTGTGAAACTCCGGTTCCACATTTTTAAAATCCGGACGCAAGAAAATCTAAGTAATAACTGAGAATTTAATATAAATACTTTATGTTTTGTGGAACTGTAATTAAAAGTGCAAAAATCCGCATGTACTCACCTTTGAACTACGCTATTAAAGTCAACTTTAAATTCTTCGATTAACATAAATGAAATTCAAAATTACTTACGAACATTGTTTGATTGATTCTGCAGTCGGCAAAAGAAGTCGAACATTTAGGATTATGCAATGTATGCCTATGCTATGCCTAGCATAACAATGAACAGTACAGATGGTAGAATAAGGGAAGAATACAACGAGTGAAATGGTGTGGTAGAGCAACAGAGAGAAGCAAGCATCAGCAGTTAAGTAGCAGTCCCTTACATTTTAGTAAACATTTGTATAATATCTTTAACATTAATAAAGTGATATCAAAATCCTTTATATGTATGCGCCATTGAAAAATCTTATTCCATAAAATTACCCGTATTTGGATAATTTGTATTCTTCGTAAATCCTATCGATACCCCGATTAGGACCACTTTCACATAAGTCTAAGTGTATGTTTGCATTAAGTATGAGCCGTTACCATTTCAGCGAAAAGACATGGAATGTTCGCTTTATTTTACAGGTTATTTAATTCCCTCCTCTTTTACGAGTGTGTCACAATCCGTTTTAACCTTACTGTGTGAAACTAAATCGGGAATGTACTGGACAAATTTTGACTTCTATGCCAATAACAGACAAGTGACCGAGTCGTGTGAGAATTTTTGGCTGATGGTGATTAGTTGTTAAATGCCGGAAACATATTCCGGACGTTTGATGTTACCAAACCCTTATTTTTGAAAAGGGAATCCATTAGGATATCTAAAAATTATAAATAAAAATTATAAAAATGAAGATTAAGATTATTATTATTATTATTATTATTATTTTAATTTTAGACTAAGATTAAGATATGGTTACATCGTTCTAGATTTTTTACAAAATCGAAATTTTTATATCTAACACTACATAAGCTGCATGGTATATTAAGTTTTTGACGACGCATGCAACATCCAGAAGGATCTAAGGTACACCCAACTTTTATTATATCGATAAGCTTGTCTGTTCATCAAATGTCTATTCATATGTTGTTGTGTTCAGCGTGCATGTAGCAATTTTTAAAAGATTTTAATGAAATTTGGTAGATTGACGTTGTTTGGCATAAGAAAGAACGCAATTGAAAATGGTTCGGTTCGGACCACTTTTTCGATCAGTCCCTATATAACACGGGTAAGAAAGTTATGTTCGGCCGTGAGCGAATGTTTTAAACCCATTACCGTTATCCTAAGAAAGACTAAAAAAAAGGAAAAAGAATAAATTTCTATACTTTGTGTTATTTAGTGAACGTCTTTTTCTGTTTTTTAAAATGAAAGTGGAAATTTGTATGGTTTGTCTGTTGTAGTTTATGAGTAACTGGCACAAAACATGGGAGCAATAGTGCTCTCAATCTTTATTGCATAAACGTGAGGCTGTTATAGGCTTTCCCTTAGACCAGTTCGGATCATTTTCAAATTCTTTCGATGTCTACATTTCTACAAACGACGACGAAATGTTGACCACAGATACAACACATTTGCATTTTGCACACGAACAGGTGGGCATCCAAGGTGATATTCCAAATTTTGAAATTAACCATGAATTTATCTACTTTGTGAGGTTTTTCAACCTTGCTTCTGTACGTTATACAGATTTCAGAAAAAATGAAATTATAATACGCTTTAAAATTGGGTAGGCGTAATCGCCTTTTTTCCACTTTTGCTCTTATATATATTTCATGCAGAAATAATCTCTTAAAAGAAATAAACAAAATGCTTAAATAAGGAAGGAGACATAATCTAAAAAAAGTTTAAGAGGTTGCTTAAGGATAAGTCATAATGTATGTACATTTCTATACAGTCCTGATTAGTTCTTAGCAGATTTTGATAGATAAGCCTCAGAATATAAATTGATAGCGTTAATGGGAACTGACAAATCATATGCTTTTGCATGTATACATACAAATAAAACAAAAAAAAAAAAAGCAACCGCAAAAAGAAACGATGAAGGTTTCTTTTAAATTTCACAATTATTTATCTAATTTATGTTTATTTTACACTAATGTACATTTCGTTTACATTATGGGATTAGCAATTTTGGTTTATTCCATGCATTAGTTTATAAGAAATGAAAAACAAAGACCAATGAAGACCATTTATTTTAAGCTTGAAATAGGTTTATCAAATTGTTTTATTAGAGAATAATAAACGGTAATTTTCAAATTATCGAGTAATTAATATCAATTAAAATGGACTTTCGATAGAGCCATAAAATTTAAGCAGATTATGGAGATTAACATAATAATTTCTCGAACTCAACATTTGAGTTCGGTATAGTGTTCCTTTGTGGAATATCTAATTTGTTATTAAGCAGCCGCCGCCCAAATGCGGAATTCCGCAAAACGCCTCCAATACTTTCGGAATCATAAACGCCAACATCTGCAGCTGTGAAAGTATAATTTGCATCACAGATTCATAATAACACTATAGAGAAATGCTCTATAGAACGAATTTTATAAAAATTATCTCCATCTTTTTTAACATGAAACACTTACTCTTACAACTGTGAAAGAGAGAACCAAAATTTGGGGGAACAAACAAAAGTAGTGTGTTTGCCATCAATTGCATCAATACAGTGAGGTAAACCCCACAGGTTATTGAAATCCTGAGCTATTTTCTTCCATCCATGGGCAGGGCAAGGCTGCTAAATTTTAAAATATGAATTCGCATGTTTCATAAATGACATTGCTCGCAGCTGAAACGCTCTTTTTATATGAAAACGAGTAATTTTGCACACTGTCACCAAGCGCTAAATATCTAAGAAATTACAATTCATTCGAATGAATTTAAATGAAGCACTTACAAGAGTTTAAGAAAAAGTCTACATTTAGTTGGAATAAGTGATCGAGTTGAATCTTTATCCTTATAGTTTCTTGAAGTTTCCCACATTCGTGCAGATACATTTGCTGAAACAATATCGCAAAAACTTCGTCAATATCACATGTTTCAATGAATGATCTTACTATGTATCTTCTCATTTTTTTTTTTTTTTTTTTTATTTGGATACTGAGCTAGGACAAAGTAAGCCAACAGAAGATGTGGCTTACACGTCCAGATATAATCTGAAAAGGCTGAAAGAGCTTCCAATACCACCTATTCCGATGGTATAGCACGAATCATTTTTAAAAATACGTTAGCATAAGTGCGGACACTCATGAGTTTGTAAGATGTCTTAATCTTCCGGGAATTAAAGCAAGCCTTTGAGGCTGAGGGTTTAAAGATAAAGATGGAATTTAGTTTATAGAAAAGGCGATTAGTTTTGGAACGCGCAATCTTTTCATATTCGCCGCCAAGGTACTCAAATGTGTGATCTCGAATTGTCCATATTGCTGTCTTAACACTATATGAAAGCATAGATGCACAAAGTTGTACCATCAAATTGAGCCGTTCTTACATTAAAATCTTAAACGCTTTGCATTTTAAAAAAATCCGCAGTGGCCAGGCATCGACACAAGGTGACAGTGATCAATTTAGGATTCGTACATCATCTTGTATATTTCATATATGTAATGATTACCTGTATCTCTTTTACTTATTAGAAATAGAGCTGATTTACTATCAGAAAAAACAACAAATTTTTTATGACCATTCGTTATAGCTACCTCTACAGCATCTCTGATGACAAGCAATTCAATAAGAGTTGAGGAAAATTCCTCCATGACTCTGATTTTATGTACTATTTCACTACCGAGAAGGTAGATACTTTATGTCCAATAATACCGTCAGTGCCATATATATCATAGCCATTGTTGTAGTAAAGAAGTTTTTCTTGACATAAAATTCTTACACAAGAAAAATTGACGTTTCGGTACGTACAAGAGATCGATTCAAGAATGTTCATGAAGACTGTACATATATTGGTAACAAAATTCCAAACAGTGATTGATTTTATCTTGTCAAAACTATTGCGGAACTTTTGATAACAAAATTTGTAGCTGGAAGACACAATATCACTAAAAGATGCAACTTTCTGGAAAAAGGAAGTATCCATTATCTCAACCCTAATTAACTCCTTAGCAATACACCAAAGAGCTATTCCGAAAACGGGCCATTCACCAGAACTGACGTTAAGGACATGTTGAAAAGTTGAGAGTGTCAGCTCAGTACAGCCTTTTAACTTTCTATTTTCGTTTTATGTCTGCATACATTTCGCAATATTATACATATTTCAGAAAATTACAAGAAATGGTATATACAAATTTGGTCTTTGACCGGACTAATGTCATTTGAACTGTCAGAACATTTTCGGGAGCCAACCTGACTGATTATTTGTCATGACTTTAATGATGCTGCATCCAGATTGATCGTTTGTCGAAGGCTTTTTCATAATGCCTACGACGAATAGAGAGATTTCACCTGGCTCAGTTTAGTTCTTTTGATAAAAACCGTAATTTAGCGCTTAGAATCTTTGGCAAAATAAATTGTATTGCGTGTGCTAGAATTAAAATATAAATTAAGATCGGTACATGCATTAAAAAAAAGTTTAGCTTTTATCGAGAGATTATTCACAGCCACTGAGAAGAATGAATCAACAGACAGAAGTAAGAAAGCGTCAGCATATTGAAAAATATGAGTTTTGTCGTCTTGAAGGTCACGCAAATTAGATGAATGAATAAACAAAATAGGACTAAAATTGCTTAAATTATTCAAGTCTTTAGATCCTGAGTTAGGAATGAGAACTACTTTAATACATCAGAAATCCGAAGGTCATTTCAATCCAAGTTATTAGACCAGCAATTAATAATTGCATGCAGCGAGACAGCCAAACTTCTCCCAGAGAATGGCCTGAACATCTCATACTTGGCACCGGCACAACCCGCAACGGTAGCTTTCTTTCAGCATATTAAAAAACGCATTTTTGTACAAAATACGGCTGATATTGATACCTTTTTTAACCAGTACACTAACACCACTATAGCCGTCGTCATGTTATTTCTCAAGAAGACACTTACAATGCAAAAATCAATATTATTTAAATTCAACTAAAAATCTAAAAGTAATAAGTTACGTCGACCACTCTGCGTTATATTGTAAAAAAGAAATCCTATTTTAAATAAGAAAGGCTTCTCAGACGACTTTAGGAGGAATTAGCATAATAAGCAATTTTTTCTTCAAATTCATTAAAACGAATCTGAGGGATCATCGGGCGAATACATTTTTTAATCAAAGAGATTAATTTTTGCAATACAGAAGAACGCATTTCATTTGTAGGCATTATTGACCGTTGAGATTTCCTTATGGACGACCTTGGAAGTGGACTAGGGGACGGTTTTGAAAGAAGACATTTTCCTTTGACGACGGCATAATATTTTTCTTGGATAGGATTTTGCCTAGGTCTTCTTTTTTGTGCAAACTATAGACAATCACACAATTCACTATCGAGACAATGAAAATAATTGGAGAAGTGCTGTTCTCTCACCTCTTTACAAGTTAAAAGACTAATTGCCGGGGTCCTATTAAGAGCTAACCTTCCCCGACAAGTTTTATTTAGAGCATTATGATCATTCGAACCACAAGCACTGACCAATGCATTTCGGCGTCGTGCTACCGTTAAAGCACCTGGTCTCTCTCAGGAAACCAGACAAGATGGCATTGCTCAATGAAGGGGTGTCTTTATCACTAATCAACACACAAGTCTGTTTACTTTTATATTATAATACTTCTTTATTGTAATTTTTAAAAAAATTTGTGATTTATGTTTACGTTGATTTCATAATTTATGGTTCTATGACCATATGTTCTTGTTTACAATTCCCTGTAAAACAATATAGCAGCGCGAATGTGTTTACCACCTGGGAGTTTTTAACCCGAGAACGAAAATGGTGTATGGTTGTGTCAGCCGTTTACGCATTTAGTGGGTGCTAACAAATATTTTAGTTAGCGGCCTTAACAACCGCTTCATCTTTCGTTTCACCGCCAGAAAGTATTTCCATCCTTTCATTCCGGAAAAAGTTTCATAAGGTTCTATGATGATTTAATCTTTACAGTTGGATCGCATCCCTAATCTGCTATTATGTATTGTTTTAAGGGTTAGTGGCAAAGTTAACGGATTGAACGAACTTCTTATCAGGAAATCGTGACAACTGTCAACTGTCAAATTCATCAACTTATATTAATGAAAAAACATACATACATCTAATATTTTATTAACATGGACAATACATTTATTATCGGTTCTTATTTAAAGAGGATTTGAAAAAGCGATTTTAAAAATGCACCTGATTTGTTGTTGAGAAAAGCAACGGAATTAAACTGAAAAAATTTGTTGAAATATTATAAAACAATCTAGAAGTTGAAGCAGTAACATGGGGCAAAGTCAGAGTATAACAGAAACTTTGCCGGATCTGGATAGTGTACAAATGCAAGTAGTACGTCACGCCAAAGTGTTATCAGAGATAAAATCGTTAACTTATGAGGATTTCAAAACTTGTCTGGATAATTTAAATTCATTGTAAGTTAATTAAATGGGCTGAAAACATTTCGTTGTATCGATTAATTGCTAAAGCCTATCAGCTTATTTATTTATTGTTCATTTATTCTTCCGTTTGTTTACTTAAAGATCTCGTAAGTGCATTGATCCTGACGGCAAGCAATTGGTATTTTTGGTTAAGCGTGGTTCCGATATAACATTATTGTGGAAGGCTACAGTGAAAATTGCTTGCATTAAAGTTAATCCACAGACACGTCGTGTGGAGACATATAAATTTCTGAATCTCAAACAATTTTTATGTGTCTTCAAAACGTTTCAATCGCATCTGGATACATTAATTAGCAGTGAGGCCCAAAGAGTAAGAAAAAAAAAGGAAAGAGAAACTTTTGCCTAAAGCAGATTTGTAGTCACTTCAATTGAAATGAGCTAGAATAAATACAAAACATAGACACATTGACAAAACGGTTTCGCCCCGCTGTCATAACGTGCACTTCTTATGACCAAGACCTTGGGCATAGCTTCGAAGCCTTATGATAGAATTCATTTACGTATGTATCCCAGTACAGGGATAATTTCCCAACGCTTCAAATTATCAATTTATTTTTTTTCACAAGTTAATTTGTTTATTGCTACATAGGATACTAGATAAGTTCAATAATACTAGCGTGCCCACCTCCTCGTAGCTTATGTGTAAAACTCAAGAAGTAACAACTCTTGACATTATTACTAGTACAATTAATTTAGCCAGAGAGAAATAAATTCCAAAACTGAAGTCTTAAAGCATTAGCATTTAAGGCAACGTTTTTTATTGAACTTTGATCGATAGAATCTGGATTGATTCGGAAACTCGGAAATTACAGACATAGAAAGTATTAAGGTCCTAAACCAATTATGACAAACAAAGAGCCGTAAAGGGTAACCTATTTCAAAATCATATTAGTTCTTTACCAAGTTTGTCCAAAAATTTAGTGTATAAAATGTATTTGCCATTTTCATATATCCCTTTTCAGTAATGAGTATTTAAATTTTCTAATATAAAATCGAAGTGAGCTATGATGCGCTCAGCCGACGTTGGGAGATACGTCTTGTTCACACTCTACCTTAAAAAGCTTTTAACGAAACATTCTCTATAAAAGTTGACCTTCAATCATATTATAATAAATTAGGGCTTCACTATGTGCATAATTGTTTGCAACATGTACGATATTTCACTCACCCTAATTGTATTTTAAGACTAAATAATGTTGTAAGTATCCATACAGGTTCATTCAATTAGCAAAATTTATTAAATGTTTTGTTGTAATGACTTTTTACCCTATTTTTCTTCCAAATTTTTGCAAAAAAAATATTTAGAATTTAAGACGTGGCTCGCAGTCTTCATTGTGTGACGACAATTATTCACAAGCGGCTTGCTGTTCTACTTTACCCCGTTCTTTAACAGCGACGATATTTTTATCTGCTTTAGGTAATAATTCAAATAGCCGCAGCGATCTTAATAGCTCAACAACATCGAGTTGTTCTTACAACGATCATGTGGATGAATGTTCAATATGTTTAGATCGTACCACTGAAGTAATATTGCCTTGCACTCATAGCTTTTGTACCCCCTGCATCGAACAATGGTAAGTCCAGAAATTAATAGAAAAACCAATTCATTTGAAAGCGTTATAAATTATCGCAGGAATGTGGGAAGAAAGACATGTCCAATTTGCTCAGAAAATTTAGAAAGTATGGACGAGACCTGGGTTATGTCAGATATACCGGGCGTTGAGGAAATCAATGAGAAAATTTGTGCAGAATTTATGAATTTAGCTAAGGAGCAATAGGAAAAAGTTTCGTCATAACACCGTAATAATGTAATAATCTTTCTTTTTTTTGTCCATATATTTCATTATTGATACGACATTGACATATTTTTTTGGAAAAGGTAATTCATAATCTTTACAGTTATTTAAAAACAATAAAACGTACACAATAATGTTTATATTTTTTGTGCATTGCCTTAAACAATAATAGCGAGAGAAATATGATATAACCACTAGAATATAAGCATATGTACATGAAAAATGTATTTCACAATTTACTTGTAACATCCAAAAGCATGTCAGTTTAGATTGACGCTAATACAGCTCATAAATGCATCAACAAGTGATTTAATTATCGTTATTTTAGATTGTTTTTAAATATAAATATTGAAACTTAACCCTGGAGCGAATACCGGATTTTCAGCTATTAGCCAGTCTTTTTCTATGTTGCTTGACATTGGTGACGACTTAAGCCTGAGATTTAAGCTCTTAACACCTAACTTATTTAGTAGTTGTGAGACGCGGAATTGACCAAAATCTGAACTGGCTGCTTCGGTATAAAACGATATCAATTAGCACGTCTCTTTATAGTAACCTTTCCCTTAGCCAGATGAGACATATTTATTTTTACTTTGCTTTCGTTTGGCTTTTTAACCCACACCTACTCAAAGGAGTAAAAATATAGAACTTTATGAAGAATTAATCTAAAGTCTCTTTTTAATACATACCACTTCATTACCGATTGCTGATATAGTGGCTGCGAATTTAGGTAGATCTTTTCCCTCTACATAAACTTGTTGTCCACGATGAAACCAACGTTTTTCGTATAATAATTTTCCATCTTCTATGCGGGTATCCATGTATTGATTAGCATTTTCTGAAATGATTGAAGACTGATGATGATTGCTGCTACCATAAGAAGAAATGCCATTTTGTTGTAAAGCTAAAAATAATTAAACAATATTAGCTTTTGTTTATTTAATGTGCAATATCTTACTTACTGGGTGTTAACGGCTTACCACGCTGTATGATTTTCAAGTCGTTTTCAATTTCCTTTTCATCTAGCATATAAACTAATAATTGGCCAGTAGTTGGCTTTCGTCGCTTTTCCACAACTGGAACAGGTTCATTTGGTCGCCTTCTTAATTTACGCGTCACCGTCGGCTTGATCTAAAAATTGTTATAAGGCGAATTATACAAATAAAACATTATTTTTAACGTACATACCTCCATGGAATCATTCGTCAATTCTAAACTGTAGCGTTCATTTTCAATAAGTTTACGACGCTCTTCGAAATCGGTAAGTATATTATCCTTAAGATCAACCTAGAGATCATAATTTTATGTGAAACTGAAATTGTATAATACGTTTTGCGATTAAATGAACCTTTTTCTCTTCATATTCCTTTTCAGCGGCTTTCTTTTCTAAAATGTAATCCCTTTCTACGCATTCTTTTAGGTAATCTCGGTAAATTTCATTCAATCTTATCCTCTCCTTGAACTGGTATTCCAACTTTTTCAGCCTTCTGATATATTCGGGATGTGTATGTTGTTTAAGCTCCTCTAGTTGCTTTTGTAAACTGGCCAATTTATGTTGGTACATCCTGAAATGAACGAAAGAAATAACATGGGCCAAGATAAGTCTAAAGGTTAAGAGGCTTACTGCTCTTTTAGTTCATGATTGTTACTGTTAGAGTTGTGACTAGCGCTATAACCGTAACTACGTCCATTATTTCTAAGCTCTGTTTCACTAGCATCATCAGTGTCTATCCAATTACAAATAACGTTTATTTATTTATATAATATTAATTGTTTACGCCTTTCCCTTTTTTTGCACTCTTATAATTTTTTTACCTTCTTCGCTGTCGTATGCATTTTGTTCAAAGTTGTTAGAACGTGAGTCATCATTATAATCAGCATAATGCTCATCATCGCTTTGATTTGTGTATATATGATAAGACATGATGAATGCCTAAATTATATTAAATTTTTAAATCTATTTCGCTTTTTTCTAATAAAGTTCGAACGTTCATTTAATATTTCTCTACACAAAACAGCTCGTATACACACACGCTCAGCTGGTAAATAAATTTATTATATTTAGTGTTGCCATTGCCTGAGTTCATTATCATTTTAAAGAAATGTTAACCTTCAAGAGTTAAATACAACGCACTGCAAAGTCGTACGAAAAACTGACAAATTTATATTGTTTTGTTTGGGAAAACCTAATTTTTTTTACTTGTTAATGTAAATGCTTGTATAAATTATAAAACTTGTCATTCACATTATTCGACGCTAGATTGGTACATAAAAGCTGCATGTTCAACCATAAGTTAAGCTCTACAATCAGGAATACAAAGCAAGAAGACAAAAAGGTTTCTTCAGTAGAACTTCAGTGAATTATTGTTTATTTGATTTGTTATCTGAAGTAACTATTAAGTCTCGAATGGGCGACAGAAATGACCCATCGTGTCCTTACAAAACTTTTTGCTTAAATATCCCACAGCATCCCCCTCAATATAAATTAGAAAACTTCTGCTAAAATAACAGGTTTTGTATATTGCGAATCAGGGTCCAAATTGAGACGTATGTATTGAGACGACTAATCGTGTTTGATTATGTTACTATTAAATAGTAACTCTTATTCACAAACTTATTTAAAAAAAAAAATCATTTTCCAAAAAACATTCAAGCGTTAAACCTACGAATCCCTCCGCTATCCGTAAACAGGCTAAAGATTGTGGACGTCGATGAAATTATAATGCATTTCAAACTGAAACATCCTACCTTATTCGCCCAAATGTAATATCTAAAAGCGGTGGGCGTAGTTATGGATAATTTACGGCCTGTCTATCATAAAGCTCTGGTAACCCAGTTGATGTTTCCAGTAAAAAATAAAAAGCAATTGTTTAATCAAAGTTAGACACGCAGCCAGTTTATACAATATACAACGTAAGGGTCTGGATTGCTTCATTCATTTGCATTGCAAAAAATGTGTAAATCAAGTCATTAACCAATGCTTTCCGTGCAATAGACTGCTTACAGCAATAATTTATAGTACAAATTAGGACGTTACGTATAAGTTCCACTACGAACACACGAGATTTGCTAAAATTTTCAATAAAAAAAAAAATGTCTAATGTATTGTTATATTTTAGCAATATTTATTTTTTTTTGGAAACATTTTTAATACCTATTATTTTATTTTATTGGGGGCGAGAGCCACGGCCAAAACCACCGCGGAACTCAACATCACCAGCGCCAGGCCCAACATCTCCCTTTTTGTCAGTACCACCAGGTGCACGTCTGTAAGCCGATCGGTCTTCACCAGTTTTACTAGCATCACCTGAGCGTGTAGTAGCAGCTGGACGGGGACGAACGGTCTCTGGTCTTGTAGGACGTTTAAGAGTAGCGGGCACAATTTCAGGTGGCAAATGTAAGTAACTGCGTAAAAATTCAATGCCTTCATTTGTCAAATAATAATAGTAATGTCTCCAAGCGAATTGCTCTTTTACTAAACCACGAGAATGCAGCGATTGCATAGTTTTAATGACATGTAAATTAGGAATATTTTCCAACTCTGGATGTTTGGGTGCATGGAAATCCTTTTTAGCTACAATAACACCCTCCTTAAAAAGGTATTCGTAGATAGCGACGCGATGAGCTTTTGGCATAAACATTCTGTAAAGATTAAAAAAAATCAAGTTACTTCCTTATTAATAATTTTTTTTTATATGAAATAAATCTGGTGAGCTCAAACAAATTATTTAGAATAGTAAACGAAATGATATTTCCATATATAAGTTTTCATACCAATTCATCTTTAATAATCTATATAAAATGATTTATTTGATATTTCTAGATTTATTTGTGCAAAACATACTCACTTTGACGTCTTATAACACCAGTTACCGGAAAGAAAGAGAAAGCTGCGTTCACAATGCCAACCGTCACTGCCTGATGAACAAACAGAATGCGTAGATTTTTTCTTATTTTTGTAGGAAATTTTACGTTAATTTTACAAAAAGGCGGCAACGCTAACAAAACAATCAACAGCTGCTCAGAGCTGATTCGCCGTAAACTGATTGGCCTTATTAAATTCTAATGTATCTTTATTTACCGAAATTAATACATTTAAAAGTGTAAAATTGAACTTTGTACATACTACAGCTTGCACCACCACCAATTTGAAATTGTACTAAAAATCTTTAGCCAAGAGCTCAGAAGATTTCAAGAAAAATTCTCACGGGAGAGTTCGTACACTACCGGCATTTATTAAAATGCCCAAAAAAGTGCTTAATAATTTTGCATTTTCGACAAAAACAATATAAGTGTTGCAAACACCGCATGAAGTGTTTATAAAACCATTGTACCAACTTACGTGTGTTTGTGCGGAAGATTAGAACAAAGAATACCTAGTGTAGCCAAGTTTTTGTACCGCATTAAAAAATGCCGTATAACCGAACGTAACTTGCCATATAATGCGTTGTAAAATGCTGTGATTAAAATTTTGTGGAAATTCATTTTCCTATCATTGCGCGTTCTGTCAGCTGGTATTTGAAAGGCTGCCCTATTTTTGAAACTTTAACGCGGCGAATGTAAAATTGGTCTGCTAAGTAAACGTAAACTTTAGAAGTGAACGTTTAATTATAACTGTCACAAAAATTTTAATTAACAAATGCGTTTTTATCAACCAACAAATTGATGGTATGATTGTTCACTCATTTCACTCAAATCACATTAAATATAAGAATTTTTCGTAATTTTAGATACAGGCAGTTTTATAACTGGGGAATAAGTATTTCTCATCTGCATTTACAAAATCTTAATATAATGGCTGAAATAATTGTGAGAAATCAAGATAAACGTTTTCAAACATTATTGGATTGTTCGGCCCGATTTGCCGGTGAGCATGGAAGTCGAAAGATTCAATGTTTTCTTGATTTTATTGCTACTTATAAGGATGTTAAACGCATTAGAGATGAACAAGCTTTGGAAGAATTAGGGCATTTGTTGACAAATTCTGCGCATGACTGGTGGATTAGAAGAAAAGACCATTTTTTAAATTGGCCAGAGGCCTTAACGGCGTTACAAAAACACTTTTCAAGACAAAGGCCTGCGCATGCAATTTATGCCGAAATATTTGGTTGCTCTTTCGATAAATATTTGCAAGCAGAAGACTTCATTTATGATAAGTATGAACTTTTCCATGAGTTGCCGCAACCTTTGCCGTCCGAAAGAATGCAGTTGGATATTATATATGCTCTGTTGCCCGAGGAAAAACGTAAAAATATTTATCCCATGAATATTATGACGGTAATGGATTTAAAGGAATGTATTAAAGATTTACAAAGTAATGATATCGCGACCGTCTCCACCCAGCATCCCAATATTACAATCGATAGTAATAAGCAGTGTAATACCGATGTTAGAATCAAGAGTCCGAAGGCCAAAGAAGAGACCAAAGAGATTGAAATAGTTTGTGATGAAAGTAACCCGCAAAAACAAAAAAGACGTTTGGAAGAAGCTAATGAATCTGTGGATATTACTTTGGTCCAAGACAGAGATCCTATTATTAAGGTTAGACGTACCGAAGACTTAATGCCCACTATTAGAGATAATAAAGAAATACGAACAGTACAACCACAGGAGACAAATGAAAAATCTACGCCACCATTCCAACTTGCTTCCGAGAACATAAACCAAATGGATCACATTATTAATTTATGCGGAAATGAAAACGATTTACCTACCAACATAGGTGGTTTGGGTGTGTCAATAACAAGTGTTGCTGATGCTTCACAAATTACATATTTATTAAATGGTGAAACTACTATTGCTCCTGAAATTGTTACACCCAATCAGCAACAAGCATTTGCGAAAGACAAAAAACCAAAAATGCGTTATAAGTTGAGTCGATCATTTGGTGGCAAATCCGATGTAAATCCTAAAAGGGTCAAATATACGAAGCTTGTTCCAGAAAGACTTAAAAATACTAAAAAAACCACTGAAACTGAAAATGTACAGAGTGCAACCAGTAATACCAATATTGTAATGGCAGCAGGATCAATGCCTGACATTTCCAACACAAACATTAGCCAATCACCTACAATAAGCCCTTCAACGCCAACAACAAGTACGGCTTCCAATCATACAATTAGTAATACGTTAACTACTAAACTTATAGATCCAATTAATGGACCGTTTTCCACGAAAGCCGCCGCAGCCAAAATGCGTTTAAATGCAGGTACAAGTTCGAATGCGAAGTGCCATCAGTGTGGTACAACGGGCTTTTACCGTAGTATATGTCCAAATTGTAGTCCTATATATTTTTATAAGCCCCCTAATAACGCTTTGTAAGTACTACCGAACAATATTTTAATTACAATTACCATTCTTGAATTATTACAATCACTATTCCTGAGTTATCCATTTATAGGAACGTAAGCAATTTTTTATTATAGACAGCATATTTACTTGGTTAGTATATAAAGATACATACATACATCAGGAACAAGAACAACAACGTATTTTATACGTGTATACGCAGATTTTAAGAAGATAGCATTATGAACTAGTTAGAACAAATACTATTGTGATCAAAAGGCAAGATTATAAATATAGCAAATATTTTAAGAGACCTAAAATGTAAGAACCTGGATAGGTACTCCTTAAAATTTATGTTTTACATGGAAAAATTGTCTTTCTATACCTTCGGGGTGCAAAAGTGTGCTTGTAGCTCATGTCAAAGATAAAGGTATTGTTTTTACACTTACTTACCTCTGAAAGCGAGGAAAGAGCTTAATTTTTAACTTGCTTCAGTGGCAATTCGTAAGGCAGATTTCTTCAATAGCTGACGCGATTTCATGATATTGACGTCAAACATCCTACGCTAGAATTTGCAGAAAATTTTGATTTAATGTTTTAATTTTAAAAAAAAATGCTTAAGCTTACAATTACAAAAATTACAAAAATTTACAAAAATCTCAAGTATAAGCATCATATGGACAAAAGATTTAAATGTAACGATTTAAATATGCTGAGATAAACAAATATTGGTTACTCTAAAAGTAATCGAGTTTTCAAAGTATCAGCAATTGAAACGGATCGATCTTATTATCGCAAATTTTTGCTCATAAAATTAAATCATTTGTACAAATCTTTTCTATTTTTAAAGTACTTTTTCACAACGAGGTTAGAGGTTGAAATATGATTTCAAAACAAATCTGAAAATTTTAAAATATTTTCATCTTCGCAGCATCCTTGTAATCAAATTGACGTTCATACATTTTCTCTGAGCATCGAGAATTTGTTCCTGGGTGAATATTAATTTCTTACCTATTGTCAGTCAAAATTAAGAACCTCGTTTATTGCTACTATAAATTCTATTATATTAAGTTGAAAAAAATAAATAACGTAAACTTAGCAAGTTACGTAATGCCTTACATTTAAAAGTTATTGTGATATTTTTATTATTCTCAATGTATACTACAAAAAAAAAAAATATTTATTTATACAATAATACAACAATAATTTTATCTATTAACATTAAAAAAATAAATATATTTATGTATTAAGTGTGTACAGCATGTTAATGAAATAATTTTATTAAGTAATACTAACTAGCGAATTATGCGAACAACAAACTCATATGATATATAATCAATTCATTGTTTTAATATTAACTGTTTTTCAATAAATTATTGTCCGTAAACTAAACTTAAGCTTAATAATAAGTTTAAGGTTTTTGAAAGCTTTCTTTCGTTATCAGAGTAATAGAAGGATGGGTTGCACTTTTTTATTGGTTGTGCTTTTTTTGAACAAAAAATTGCTTCTTCGATGCGCAAAATTGTGGACTCCAGAAATAAAATTACAGATATCGAAGCGTACAATATTAATTCAAACTCACATCATCGAGAAACACCGTATGCCGTTAAAACAATGTATCACATCAGGGCTATCGACTTGTTTAACGGAAAAAACCTTTTTAGCATTTGTTAAAACGGAAAAAGCCAAAAATAACGGATGTTTGCGGCCTAAGAAAATTAAAACAAATTCGAACTTTCTTAGCTATATTAAAAATTGTCGAAAGCTTTAAAAGTTCTTACTTCCTTTTTTGGTTTGAATGTAATCATATATCGAACTAGCCATCATGCAGAAAACGATGAACAAAATAAAAGCACTGGAATAAAACAGACGAAGGTTTAGTTACAAAATGATTCTCAAAATTCTTCCATCCTTACATGGCAAAAATATCAATAGGGCGTAATTTTATCGGTTCATCAACTTTGCAGTATTGTTCATCGATCGTTCGGTTACCTTTAATGTCCTGATTGAAAATTGTTTTGATAATAGTTTTAAGTAAGTTATCTGCCATATTTGCTGAACACGAACTAGGCACACAGATACCTAATTCAAAGTATTCGGGATCTTTTTTCTTGTAACTGATGGCTCTACTAAGTTCAGAAGTTTTGTTTATTTTCTCAACGAAACCTTTAATAGGAAGTTTTGTCAAACAATATTTTCCTTTAAGCAGATAATCGCTGTCAAAGGCACGAGAAATAGAAATACATTCCTCAAATTGACCCATGCTTATGGTGTGGCCCCACATTAGGCCAAAAGGTAAACGACCCCATGAATCGGGAACTGAAATTGAACATACCAGTGATTTGAACGATTATCAAATGGGCTTAATTTTCTTATATGATAAGTGTATTACAAACTAAGTATACATATATATATACATATATATTTACACTTGTTGTAAACCCTCTTTTTAGTAAAACAACTAGTTATCAATAATTGTTTATTGTTATGTATTCAAGTTCATTATTATTTGATTGTTCATTTTGCCGTAAATCTTATTATAATTTTTGCTTTTCTTTTATTTCTTTTCAATTTGACGCAATATTGCTAAAGGAAGCCCAATCAAGATAGTAGCAATTTATTATTTATCAGTTTTATTATTACAGTTATATTATACGAAAAATTGTTAATTGATGTGCAATAAAATGACAATTCATTTTTACCGGCTTTGAACCCATACCACTTATCAATTAGAAGAAGGTATAGGAGATATTCGAAATTTTGCTTTATTAGATTTTTCTTTATAATGTTAAGGTTTCGCACAGCAGATGGCGTATACAGATGCACCTAAAGAAGCCTTTTTTTTTAAAACGGGGACAGCAATATTTTTGAAGATAACGCTAATGGTAGGAGGGTCACGTTTCTTATTTCTGATATTCTTTAATTAAATAAGGCACAATAGCTTGATTGTTTATTGTATATTTTTGCGCAACTCAAGATTATTTGTGATCATCGTTTCAATTGAAATCATTTTACATTCGAGAAAGATCGTTATGATTTTTAGTTTTCGAACTCTTCAATGTTCATTGCCACCACGTACGCCACTTGTGATATCATGTTATATTAAGTTCACGAATGTATACAACATCCGTAAGGACATAAGGTGGGTCCACTTATTGTTAAACCGATCGATTTAGAAGTATATTCACCTACAAATCGAAATTCGGGATATTTTGGTGATTTCGAAAGAAGAATATATAAAACGTAGATGATATTTGACCTCGAGATTTATTTGTCAGACCTTTCGATTTGAGACACGGGCTACTGCTAGAAATCCATGCGATTATTGACTCTCGCCATTTTACGTAATACACTTTCGTTTGCACTTGTTCAAACCATTGTCCTGACGACGAGTTGCCCTCCGCTTAGCCCGTTGCGGTATTTCTTTATGATTTTTTCAATCTTGTAATGAAATAAAAAATTGAAACCTTTTTGTATATCTTTAGATGATTTCCACAAGAGGTCCGTTCTGAAAATTTTAAAATATTCTTATCCCGGTTTTCTTTCTTTGCCAAATTCTCTAATCAAATTCATGCTCAGCCAATTTCTTTAAGTAGTGAATATCAAGGATTCGTTCGTGGGTGAATATTAATTTCTTACTTATTGTCAATTAAAACTAAGGATCTCGTGTAGATTTATTGCTGCTGCAATTTCTTTTATATTAAAATGAAAAAACAAATTCAACATAAAACTAGGCAAATTAAATAATGCCTTATTAAGTTATTGTGACATTTTTATTATTCTCGCTAATAAATATTTATATATACAACTTTGCATTGTCGATTGTTTAAAATAATTTTATCTACATATACTATAGCAAATATACTTATGTAACGAATGTTTGTGATGTTAAAATAATTATATTAAATAATACTAACTGCCGAATTGAACAAGCAGGAAGCTGCATATAATATAAAATCAGTTCGTTATTTTAATATTCACTGTTTTTCAATAAATTATTGTTTCAACTAAACTTAAGTTTAATAATACATCTAAACTAGGCTTTTTGAAGGTTTTCATTCGTTATGGGATCAGTGGAAGCTACGGTGTTAACCTTTTTCATTGTTTGGTCTCTTTTCTTACTACCTGAACCAAAAATAGCTTTTTCAATGCCCAAAATAGGGGATTCAAACGCTAAAGTAGCAAATATGGAAGCGCACAATGTCAAACCGAAGTCATGCCACCAACGCATTATCTAGAAACGCATAATAAGCTTATAAATTACTGCAATAAATTTTTATCAACTCTGAAAATCGCTTACGGCATCATAATCGGAAAAATGTGTATCGGTTTGCAAGCGAGCCGCATTGACCAACTGAACGATTCTATGAATAACATACATGCAATATGTTAAACGACTAAAGGCAGTAAAAAAACTCCAAGATAGAAAGTCATTTATTAATCCACCATGTCCGTTATAACAAGCCCAAACGATCCAAGCCATCGATAAAGCCCATGCTGCACGACTTAGTGGCTCGTAAAAAGCTCCTTCAATTATCGGAGAATCGGGATTTTCAGGCCGTATACGCCAATAGGGTCCCCAGAGATCGGTAAGCATAATACCGAACGCTAATAACCACCCACTGATAACCCATTGCTTAGCCAGCGGTATTTTTCGTCCACGATTTTTGGTAAATAGGAAGTAACCAAAGATAACACCCATTAGCCAGGTGGGAATTCGCGTATGAGTGGGATAATAGGTGAGACGTTGCCGTAAATCTACGTGTTCGTCTTGCACACGAAACAGAGTGAAATCATTAAACATAAAAGTGGTAAACGTGCACGCAATGCATAATAATACGAGCACAATCATAGGTGGTAATGACTTTTTACCCCATTTCCATAATGGTATTAAAAAGATGGGTGAAAATACATATAACTGAGTGTCAACAGCTAAATACCACGATTGACTGATGCACTAAATTGAGGAAAGCAAAGACTTTGCTTGATGAGTTTACTTCGGTCTAAACGACAGATAGTAGTATACTTACAATCTTATTCGGGAAAGCATAATTTTGCACATACAATAACGTGGCCCACCAAGTATCTTCACAGCGCTTATCCTGGGTACCAAGCTTCATCCACATTGGTCCGGCACCAGAATATTTATACAGCGACATAATATAAAGTATAACTACAGCTACTACTGGTGTTAAACGTATATATCGATGAAAATACATCATCGGTATATTGAGTTTACCTTTGCTATGGGAGTCGTAACGAATTTATGAGAATAAATAAATAAATAATAAATAAATATGCATTAGAAAACTTACGTTTTTTCCATTTCACGGAATGCGCCCCAAAGCATTAATAACCCCGACATAAAGAAGAACGTATCAACGCAAAGTGTACCGTTTTGTACTAGCATTGAAAAGGGTGTCTCTGTCCACTATAAGCCAAGAAAATCATATAAATCATGTCAAAAGCTGATACGGATGCTTAAATGAGCCAAGACATACCGTAAAAAATTTATTTTTATTAATGTGTGGCAAATCGTAAAAAGTCATGTATCCATGACCCATAACAACCCACATCATCGAGAAACACCGTATGCCGTTAAGACAATGTATCACATCAGGGCTATCGACTTGTTTAACGGAAAAAACCTTTTTAGCATTTGTTAAAACGGAAAAAGCCAAAAATAACGGATGTTTGCGGCCTAAGAAAATTAAAACAAATTCGAACTTTCTTAGCTATATTAAAAATTGTCGAAAGCTTTAAAAGTTCTTACTTCCTTTTTTGGTTTGAATGTAATCATATATCGAACTAGCCACCATGCAGAAAACGATGAACAAAATAAAAGCACTGGAATAAAACAGACGAAGGTTTAGTTACAAAATGATTCTCAAAATTCTTCCATCCTTACATGGCAAAAATATCAATAGGGCGTAATTTTATCGGTTCATCAACTTTGCAGTATTGCTCATCGATCGTTCGGTTACCTTTAATGTCCTGATTGAAAATTGTTTTGATAATAGTTTTAAGTAAGTTATCTGCCATATTTGCTGAACACGAACTAGGCACACAGATACCTAATTCAAAGTATTCGGGATCTTTTTTCTTGTAACTGATGGCTCTACTAAGTTCAGAAGTTTTGTTTATTTTCTCAACGAAACCTTTAATAGGAAGTTTTGCCAAACAATATTTCCCTTTAAGCAGATAATCGCTGTCAAAGGCACGAGAAATAGAAATACATTCCTCAAATTGACCCATGCTTATGGTGTGGCCCCACATTAGGCCAAAAGGTAAACGACCCCATGAATCGGGAACTGAAATTGAACATACCAGTGATTTGAACGATTATCAAATGGGCTTAATTTTCTTATATGATAAGTGTATTACAAACTAAGTATACATATATATATATATATATATATATACATATGTATACTTGTTATAAACCCTCTTTTTAGTAAAACAACTAGTTATCAATAATTGTTTATTGTATATGTATTCAAGTTCATTATTATGATTGTTCATTTTGCCGTAAATCTTATTATAATTTTTGCTTTTCTTTTATTTCTTTTCAATTTGACGCAATATTGCTAAAGGAAGCCCAATCAAGATAGTAGCAATTTATTATTTATCAGTTTTATTATTACAGTTATATTATACGAAAAATTGTTAATTGATGTGCAATAAAATGACAATTCATTTTTACCGGCTTTGAACCCATACCACTTATCAATTAGAAGAAGGTATAGGAGATATTCGAAATTTTGCTTTATTAGTTTTTCCTTATAATGTTAAGGTTTCGCACAGCAGATGGCGTATACAGATGCACCTAAAGAAACATGTTACTTTTGAAAAAAAACGCTATTATAATTGAATGGGGATCGTTGTGACTTTATTTAACAAGAATTTGCTACATATGTTTTCATTCACTTATTTTATTGGTAATTGCCAGAAGCACAGATCAGTAACTCTACAAAGAGTGTATTTATTCGTAATAAGTGCAAATTTATATATTTATATATATATATATATCTATATATCTAATTTGCAGTGAGTTGTTGAAACCGTGTTGATATAATTTTATATGATCTCGCGCATAGTTGCACAGCAGTATTACACGTAAGTGAGATTTTAAAGGCCCTTTTCGCGATACGCCGCGTGTAAATTTTTTATAATGTCTTTAAAAGGCGATAAATTAATTTAGAAATAATTTAAAAATTATTTGTTGACAAACGATCGACTTCTTTATATCAAAAATCTACTGCCTATAAGCATGTGATTTTTTTCCCTGAATCCAATTTGCATCTTCCAGAATAATGCTGATCGCAGGGCCTTTTGAATCGAAAACTTCTCATAGCGCATAGGTTTTGTGCGCTGCGATATTTTATTACTCTTCAATATTGAACTTTTCAACACTTAATTGTGTAATCAACAACTTTTTTGACTATTATTATTATATTATTATTATTTTTTTTGTTTATCCCGAAAGTACAAATTTTTATTTTTTTAAACCGTTACAGTGAATTCACCCTTAATTCTTAATTATTATAGTTTGAATAGTAAGGAATTTTTCATTAAAGATTATAGAATTATTGTTCCAGTCATCAAAATAAGTTTCTTCTTATCACTATCCTCCTTGAAACTTTACTAAGCTGAAGCAAATATAATTAATTACATTCCAGTACAGTAGCATGGGTAAAGGATAAGGCACTCAGTCTTTACATTGTTAAGTCCAAAGACGTCAAAGAATGTAAATATTTTTAATCGATATGAAGTTTTAAATTAATTTAACCAGGCAATATATCCTCGACTACTGATATTTACAAAAGCTTGAAAGTTTAGTCGAGATAGAAGGGTGGAAAGTGTGTCATCAACATATGATAATCTAAGAATTGGCCGAAATATCAAAGCTGGGTGAAAAAGTTTCCGGAGCTATCTACTATGCCCATCGTTACCAAAACACTTTACGACTTATTATGTGTTTTAGAAAAGAAATCCACGTATTGGCATTTGATACTAACTTGCACAGTTTCCTTGATTACATTTATTATTTTTGACCCCATCTAATGTATATTGAATCTTAATTGCTGCGTTTTCAAAATTTGAGTATGAGTCATACTTAGTTAATGTAATTCACTTTTTTATATCGATCGTATGGTGAAGGTTTACTAATTTTGTTGTTGTAACACTCGGAAATAGTCATCAAGGATTTTATTAAACAGAAATATTTTAGACGTTAGCATTCAGTACAGAATTATACAGCGCCGTCGGCTCACCTGCCTATTTTTAGAATTCTAGTTATCAAGAATGCACTTAGAGAGATGATACTTGACCTATACATTATATATTATTGAAACAGTTGGTCAGAATTATTTTAAAAAAGGTTATGATACGCCCGCCCATAGATACGCCAGCTGAAAAACTGCAAAAAGGAAACAACTTTTAGAAAGCATAAATACATAATACACTTTCACCAGCAATCTATTATTTATTGCAGATAGATTTCGAGACGAGATTTGTTACAACTATTTCTTAGATGCTTATAAAAACTTCATCATCAAAGAACAATCATGAAACTGTGTCCGCCGGTTGGTATACAAAGCGAGACGATTATATGCTTTTTACTTATTACTTTTTCAATGCATAACAAAAGAAAATGTTTAAAGTAGTAGAAATGCAGTATGTTTTTCTTACATTCAATAGCCCAGTCCTCAAAGTTTTGAAGGCCACTCAAAATTCTTCTTATATCAATGGCACATTGCGCATCATCGTGGTTTGTATTCGAGGTTATATTACTTAATATTTCAGATGGAAATTTCGAAGAACTTGCGAAATATTGGTAGCCCAACTCATTACTAAACGGAGATGCGGGTATTTGATCTGATAAGGCAGAGCCCGCAATAACTACCAATACGTTAACCAACCGCACAACCGATTGACTACGTAGGAACATTTTGCCGTTAAAAGATCGAAAATACAAAGTAACAAGCGGTATTAAAATAGTGAAACTAAACGTTTCACATGACATTGCTACCTTTTATAGCTTTAAAGGTTCTACCAATATTATCGCAAACAACGAAAAATTGGTTTAATTTTACAAAAGTTACACATTACACATTAAAAAACACTTTTATAATTGTATTTTACTAACATTCCAAATATATAAGTTTTATCTGATAACATTTAAAAAGCAAAACAAAAAAAAAAAATGGTAAAAAAGAAGAGGGACTTCGATTAGAAACTCTGAAAAAAAGCCATTCGTGGTCGTACTGATAATGTGTAACTCTCACTGACCGGTGGTATAATCGTACTACATAGATAGATAATTAGAAGGGCTACATATGTATTTTAATTGAGAATTTCTTTTATATATATATATATGTATATATTTATATATATATATGTATATACCAGTTGTCAGTAAACTAAATTAATCACTTGTTTCGTAACATTCAACAAAAAAAGAGAAGCTATGGTTGCCTTAAGAATAGCGTTCAAAGTTAAAAAAATAATATGCTATCGTGAGAGGTAGAAGGAAACTTCAGGGACCCCACAGAGTATATGTATTCTTGACCGGCATCGAATTTTTAATCGATTTAAACATATCCGTCTATCTGGTCGCTTGTCGCTACGTCTATCTATCGTCTTTTATATATGTTCTTCTGGCTGCAAAAATGAACCTATCAACTTAAAATTTGGCAAAAACATTGAAAGTTCTTACACGCAGGTTTGTATTGAAAATGTGCTAAATCGGTTGAAGTACTGCGCAAGCTAAGTACATATTTGTTGTTTGAAAGAAATAAAGAATTGGTTTTCCGCTCATTACTCATAAAGTACAGCACATAAATCTACGAAAATGTAAACGTATATTCTGCGGGCGATGCTGTAGTACCTGTACCGTCTTTTTGCTTGTCCATATGTCGGCCTGCTAAACCGTGTGGTATACGTGGTAAACATTCTCGTGTTCGCAAAAATGAAGATATCGCAGACAAATTTAGAAAGCAATTTAGAAATGACGCCTACAATGATCACACACTTATGCAACAAAGCCTGTGAACATCTTTGCTCCCCGCATTTTTTGCTTGTTACTAATATAGTACAACACGTACACCATATAAATTTCCACTTTTATTCTGAAAATGAAAAAAAATCAACCGCGGCCATAGCATACGAAAAATCGTAGTTCTTTTCGTTTTTTTTTAGTCTTTTTTATGAAAAAGACTAAGCTAGGCGTAAAAGACTTGGTCACGACCGAACATAATTTTCTTACATGCTTCTCTTTAATTTTTTCAAATAAAGTAAAAACGCTTGCTGTATGATTGGAAAAACGCTGACATTGTATAAATTGTTAATCTATAAGAGATTATAGGCATCTTTTCGTCGTGTCGTCTTTGATTAGAATTAAGTAAGGGAAAACTTTTGAAGCTCACAATATAGCAGCAAATAAATTATATGAGAAACTTTTCTTTAAAATAAGTCTTTAATTAAAATGAATGATTAAAAGAAAAAGTTCCAAATTTTCTTAAAAACTTGTGTTGCCTTAATGATGCTAGCTATAGATTCAACTACACGTACAATCAAGTTTTATGCATCCAGCTCAGAATACAAGGACTGCGTTTGCATTTTGTTTCTATACTTAAATGTTGGAATGTTGTTTGATCGTATATGTTTATTTGGATTTGAACATGTACATTGTATTGTAAAAAAAAAAAAGTTTAAAAATAAACAAAAGCCTTTTGCATAAGCCACAGTGCAAACGCGCTGATTGCGTTCAGCGCATAACTCAATTCAACTTTTTGACAGGCATGCCATATGATTTTTTGTATTAGCAAATTAACAAAAACCGCACACAATATATTACAAAACGATCAAATGCTAGAAGAAGAAACAAAGAGGGTTTATTCGAGTTTAAAAGTTATTTCCCGAAATTTAATTATTACATTGGATTATTTTAAGTGGTAATTTTAAAGTCGTGGATTCATTAATTCATTAATAGAAACATATGATGGTTTTCGAGACTATTATAAAATGGGATTATGAAAATTAGTGAGACAATTTTAGGAATTTACCGCAATGAATAAATGCCAATGATAAAAGGAAATGAGAAAGGGGGAAAGAGGATTTAAGAGCCATGTAAGAAAATATGGTAATTGTTGCCTATTTGAAACGCTAATAACGAGTGAACTCGGCTAGGAGAAGGGTACTCAACTCTGATTTTTAAGAAGAAAAGTCGGATCTAATATCTACTTCAACTGAAAGTGAACTTTGGATAGCAATTAAATAATTGTTCATGACAATATATAATGAGCAACTTATTAATTAACGTTCAACGTGTCTTGCTTGTGTTGCTTACATGCTATAAATTACAAGCGAAAAATTCGGAACAATATTTCGGAAGTCTTTGATGTACCAAGCGCGTTTGTTAAGAAAGTTTAGTTAAATTACATGCTTATTTTAATTAAACATTGCTAAGGACGATGGAAAACTTTACGTGATAATTTAGTTAGGCGGGGCAATCTCAGGAATGCTTATAAACATTAATAAAGGGCAAAGTTAATGAAGGGAAGATTGCCGTAAAAATAGTTTTTTTAAAGTAAAAAACATTTTTTTTTTCTTATAAAAATAGGTAACGATTCAATCTTAATTAAAATGCAAAAAACCAATTTAAAATCTAAAATATTAGCTAAATGAATTTGTTTCGTTCCCTTAAATACTTCCCGGTTTTTGATTGTCAGTGGCGAAGCCAGCAGAACTTTGAAAAGTTTGTCAAAAATTCGCTTCGGTAGAATGTACAAACCAAGCTATATGTTCAACTGCATATTATAAACAGACACAATTAATTATATTTTGACAGTTCGGGCATGATGCCAAAAATGGAGCTTGTATTTAGCGCTTTAGGTATTAAGTTAAATTGAAAATTTTACCATACAGATCTTAAAAATTAAAATAATTAGTGCATAAAGAAGAAACTTTCCAAATAAATCATCATAAGATCTATGCGGATTAGAACGAGACTGATTTTCTTTCCATAAATTGGTTATTTATTTATGCATGCAATTCAGCCATAATAACATAACAGCCAAGCAAATCATACGTGTAATGATATTAATCTTAATATAACAAATCTTAGGCTAAAATTAGGACACATTTTTATTAGGTACTAACAAAAGGATCAGAATCCCTGCATAAGCAGACAAAGAAAAAAAAAAGAAGTGTATACAAATCTAGCGTAGAGGTACACGGGTAATCAGTATACATCCGGGCTAAGAGTGACGCACTGAACCCATGCGCCGACCTAGCAAAAGCTAGGCAAGCGTTGATAGTAAACACATTTAGTTTAATTTATGAATTATACGAAGCTTTAATAATTAGAAGTTAATTTAGATACGGCGTAGGCAAGAGACACCTATTAAGGAGAGTAGGTTGGAATGAAATTCAACAAGAGTGGTTAGGAACATTGAGGTGAATCTCTTCTGATAAGACCGGTGAGTCAAATATACCGCTTATTTCTTTTAGAGAAAAGAAACAAGTCAAGAAACAAGACATCGAAACGGAGTATTCATGGCCACAAAGTTGCACGGTACGTATGGTGGGATCACCGAGGCGTAGTGCATTACGAGCTACTAAAACCGAATGAAGCTCTTACTACAAATGTCTACCGACATCAATTGAACAAATTCAACAATGTATTGGTGCAAAATAGACCAGCGATAGCGATTAACAGACGTAAAGTCAAACACTAAATCGATCTAAGCTCGACAATTTTGAATGAAAGCTATTGAAAATATTTCGGATCGGATCACTTTTACGACCCGTTCCCATATAACCTCTATCTTTGAAAAATCATTATATCAATAACCGTATTGAGCAAAGTGGTATACGGTATTAAATGTGGGCCAAGGCTCACTGTAGTGCTGTGCTTGTTTTTAATTAAGAGAAATTTCTTCATATATCTTTAGACAATTTTCATTGAATTTATTGAAGCATTTGACGAATATAAATCTTACAAATTTTCAACGTATGTTGATATCGACAATAGAAGAAAAACAAATGACATTCACTGCTTAGTCTTCACTTTTTTTTGTGTGAATAGATTTATATGTGTACATGACATATATGCGGGTAAAATTACGAAGTTGTATGTGCTCTGATCTAAAAAAATCTTATACAACCTTACGTCATCAAGAAAGCTTTGAAAACGCAAATAGAAATACACCGATGAAATGGTAAAGCACATCCTCACCGATGTCTCCGCCGTCTTGGTTTTTGAAATCCAGAAGAGAATGAATCGACTTTATTTCAGATTATTCGTTTCTGCATATAATCAATAATTTTTCGGCACAATTACGAATTTGGGGCAATTAGCAAATTTATTTTTCCGACAGATAAGAGTAGCGATAACATTTTTTAAGTCAACACTGATTGTCGGCGTATTTTTCTCATTATAAAACAATGCTTAATGAACCCACAAATTTCAAACATTTCCAATGTTTTGAAAATTACAAAAGTAGCGTCACTAAAACAGCTATAACTTATAAAACAGCTTATAGAATGTCATGAAGTTTTGAGACCTATCGTTTGAAAATCGGTATTGTCCAGAAATTGAAGCGTCTATTATGTGTGGCATTAAGTAGATTTGATTTTCGACCTTTTTTGCTACACGTATGCGCAAAAGATGCGAAAAAAACTCTCTCAAATCTGTCAAATCAACCGTAAGTTACTCGTTTGTATTCATTCTCGTTAGCATTGCGGTATTTTCTTCTCTCAATCATAAGTTCCAGTATATCCTCAGTTATTCATTGATTCTTTTGTTTATTCTGTTTAAAACCAATTTTATTTTCAGCTACATTTCTCAGGATCTTAATTGTACTTCTTGATCCGCTATGTGTATATCTTCAATGTAATTGCTTGAACGTATCGCTTATTCAGATACTAAATTGTTTTTGGCTTTATATTCCTTAGATTAAGACATTGATTTGTCTCGAGGGGGTGGAATTTTTAGTTGATTCTAGTTTCAATTTAACTGTACTCACTAGAAGAATATGATCCGAAGATACGCCTGCTTCTGGGAAGATATTGGTTCTTTTGACAGATGTTCCAAATCTTTTATTTATCAGAATTAATTAATTTGATGTTGGATGACATTTTGACCGGTTTGTTGTGAGGATTTTCATGTATATAACGGGCGACGAGGTTTTTTTGCTCATGTAATGTTTTGTGGTACTAAAGGAACATTTAGATTGGTGAATAAGAAATCTTATAAGACATGAAGGGACTTTACGTAACGCTTCAAATCCTACGCCTTTACCGGAAAATATGTTCACATATTTGTTCGCAATGTAAATTAAAATATATACATCGTTACATGTAGACTTTTGCAAAAGTTTCGCGTGTGAAAAGCGGTTTTTAAGTATATTTTAAGAAAAGTTCGTGCTGGTGATGGCATAACCTACATGCCTCTTGCGATCCGTCTATTCCTTTTTAGGACTTGTTGTGGTCTGGAGGGCATCAATGATTGGCGGGTAGCGACTTTTACTTAAACCTTGCACAGAGCGTCATTTCTGTTTTTGTATCAGAAATATTACAAGAAATAGAAAAGAAATTCATCCATAATTTGAAATTATTATTTATTACCCCCTAATAAAACAATTCGATGAATACATTTCAATCTTAAAATAAATAGTCTTTAATGGTTGTTTTTCATTTCTATTTCATGGCATAAAACAAAGTTGTAAACCACATAATTTAAAAAAATTTACATTACTTTAAGATAAACATATATTAGATAAACAATTTGTAAATTTAAAATAAACTGTATTTCTTCCTACATGTTGTTTTCTTTTTGTTTTATTTGTGTATATTGTACATGCACAACGTAGCGTGCATTTATAAAGAACCAATAATATACAAAAGGAGAAGAATTTAAAAACAGGACCAAATGGCACGCTCAGGAAAGGCTTTTATCAACAAACAAATATGCAACCATTAAATTGCAATAAACGCCCTTTATCAATAAGTTAGGTTTACGGTAAAATCTTTCTAAAATAAGCATTTTTATAAATATTATTAATTTTTTTGGCAATAGAAAAGTGATATATAAGCACCAAATTTTGAATAAAAGATTGCCATGACATTTTGGAAGCATTAAAAGAAGGTCAAATTGGGTTCTTTTATTTAGATGGGGATATTCCTAGCAGAGTAAATCTTGGCATTGTAAGACTAAGTGTCCCGACGGAACCAGTCGAGCAGCTTATGAAAGTTCTATGAACACTCCTACAGCATATATCTTTACATGAAAATCCTGCCAGTTCGCATTATATGACGATAATGTAAAATACTTTACAGTGTACATACAATATGGTTTGTGAATTCCCATAGAGCTTTGTAAAAATTCGGCAAAGTTGAAATTCCAACCCGAAAATGGGAGTAACGCCCCATTGTGTCAGTCCCCTTGTTTGATTCGAAGAAATATTTTATCATATAGTAAAAGATGTATGCGAACAGCTATCGTAATTTATGACAATTTATGACAATTACGTAGAGCGTACATTGCATTTAAGGTAGCGATACCCCCAATTAGAAGATAACCATAACGATGGCAACATGAAGGATTCTGTGATGATTTAAACTTTAATTTGTTTACGTGGAAATTGAAGCCAGAATTTTTATGTTCCTTTGCAACCTGTATGTGTTTCAACATGAATATACACAGTGAGTGTTTATTTTATACATAAAAAACCCCGTTGAGCACATTGCTTCAGTTAATAGCCACAATTTATATATCAAACAACAGTGAACAAAAAATACATTAGTTTGATTATCTTAACCGTACAAAATGCTGTTTTGGGTTTGTCAATGCGCTATGCTCGTACAAGGCCGGGCGATATATTTGTTAGTTCAACGGGTAAGTTTGGATACTATAAGTGCTTATGTGTGAACACATGTTTTATTTTGAACTCTTTTTAGCTGTTCTCATGTCCGAAGTCGTTAAGTTAATCACCTGCTTCGTATTGGTGTTTAACGAGGAGGGTAAAGACTTGCAGCGGTTTTTTCGAACGCTACATAAAACAATTATTGCCAATCCGATAGACACTTTGAAAGTTTGTGTACCTTCACTAGTATACATAGTACAAAATAACTTACTATATGTTTCGGCGTCCCATTTAGATGCAGCGACGTATCAGGTTACCTATCAATTAAAAATTTTAACAACAGCCATGTTTGCAGTGATTATTCTACGAAAAAAATTATTATGCACGCAATGGAGTGCTTTAATGATTCTAGTAATTGGTATAGTTTTGGTTCAATTAGCTCAAACGGTAACGGACAATTCTACTGAAGATATTGGTCAGCCTGAACAGAATCGTATGTTTGGCTTATGGGCCGCTTTGGGAGCATGCTTTCTATCCGGTTTCGCCGGTATTTACTTCGAGAAGATATTGAAAGGAGACGAAATCTCGGTATGGATGCGTAACGTACAACTGAGTTTATTAAGCATACCTTTTGGAATCGTGACTTGCTTCGTTAATGATGGCGGCAAAATATTCGCGAATGGGTTCTTCCATGGCTACAATATATTTATTTGGTACTTAATACTACTTCAAGCGGGTGGTGGGCTAATTGTAGCTGTCGTTGTAAAATATGCAGATAACATTCTTAAAGGATTTGCAACCTCACTGGCCATTATAATATCATGCATTGCCTCCATGTACATATTTCATTTTCATTTGACGTTGAAATTTACTGTAGGCGCTGCTTTAGTAATCACTTCAATTTTTATGTACGGTTACAATTCCAAAAATACATCTACTACCCAAAAACAGGCTAATTTCACGCAATGTCAGTCAGACGATGAAAAACTTTTACCGTAAATTGTCGGTACTGAAAACATTCAAATATCTGCATATTCGTAAATGAGCAAGAGAGTTGTATTCGCTTTGGAGCGAATCTTCACTATCCACAAGTTAAGAAAGACGTATTCCAATTGTTAAAATAAATTTTTTAATCAGTTTTCAAGTGGCGCTACTAAATAACATTCGCCTCAAATTTAAAGGTTTATACACATATTTTGCAAATTATTGATGCACTGCCAATTACAAATGTGTAGCTTTCTTGCTAACTGCATAACTAAAGTAGCATAGCAAATGTGGTACCACTATTAGCTAATGCTTTACGAATGTAACAAACTAAATAAAGAAAAATTGAGTTGTGGGGTATATATAGAAACATGGCGCTGCAGAACGCTTTAAGATCAGTAATTAGGCAGTATTCATTCATTATAAATGAAATCTTTCATATATTTGTACGAATCTACAATAAGTAAAATTTTATTTTACAAATAAACCGAAATATTAACTGACCGATAAACTAACTAAAAGTATTTGATTTTTAAAAAAAAATATAGTGATCCCTTTTAAAAATATATATTAACGTACTTCACATTTTTTGGGAAATTGCCAATGTAATTCGTGTATTTACATGTGAAATCCAAAGTGATATACGTTTAAACGGGGCAATTCCAACCCAAAGTAGGATCGTTTAATTGGCTCTGTATTTTGAGGATTAAACTGTAAATGCGTAACGACGGTCCCAATTTTATAGTCAGTTTTTTTATTACGTCGCTACGTTTTAGCAAAAGCAAAGACGTTCCGTCTATTTCTTGTTCCTTAAAGACGTGGGCCTCGTTCGGGAAATATTGGGAGAAATATTGCGTGACCTGATCTACTGACCAGTCCTTGACATCTGGTACATCGATGTCTTCGTCTGGGCTAGATATTATTGGAGCTTCGAAACTATTGGAACTGGAGGATGGGATATTTTGTACGTTGTTGTCCGATTTCTTGAGTCGCTTTTCCTCCTCAGCGTCAGCACAGTCAACGTCTTTTTGTACGTCAGGCTTTGTCTCCGTTAGAGATCGTTTCACTAATGTTTTTGTCTCAACTGCTGTAGCAGTTATATTAACGTTTTGAGATGATCCCTTATCATCACTTTTGGCACTACCGGTCCAAGGTGACGCAGATTCGTCCCCAATTATTTCCCGTATAGTTTTCACTGGTAAAGTGTTACCATTAATAATTCCAGGCACGCTGCATTTGTTACACTTCCAATTTCGCTCATTTTGTTGAAATTGTAAAACATTCGGTATATGGCAATTAGGATGGTACGACTTGAAGCACTTAGAACAAGTGATTAAATCTTTCTGAAAGTAAATACCTAATGTAAAGTTTGACTGCGAAATATCCTAAAAAACACTTACGTCAACATCTGCGTCTACATCGGAAATAGCGTGACACAACTCACAAACACGGCAATTTTCACACTTAAAATTTTGACGCAATACTTCAAAATCGTCGTAGTCAATTTTCAAACATAATCTATGAACTGGAAGGCCAAGAAAAACATTAAAGAAAATGATAGTTTTCAACTAATTTAGAAAATATAATATATACTTTTTTTCTCGCATAAGATACATGCAATAAGCTTGTTCTTATTTGCATATGAACTGCGTTTAGCTTCCCTTTTTTGACATACAATGCAGGCAGCTGGAGAAACTACGATATCGTCGCAAGCAACGGAAGCGCGCGAATATACGGGGCGACGTTCAGTTTGCTGTTGATTGGAATGAAGAGATGAACCTTGCTGACTATTATTTAGGCTGGTGACAATAGGCTGCCGTTGTGCACGGGGTAAATAATTATCTGAGGGATCAAACACTGCCTTAGGTTTCTGAAAATCAAAGTAATTATCGCAAAGAAATACATAATCTTTAAACTACAAACCTTAATGCGCCCTGTGGTGCGCACACTCGATTCACCAGAAGCAATATTGGAACTATTTGAATGACATCCACTTGCCAATTCTTCGCCCATAGGTATACGCAAGCGTGCCACCTTTTTCATATTCTACAAAAGATATGAGTTGAAAACTATAACCTTACAAAAAAATTTCTTAATGACAGCCAAGTATTGCTTTAAGATTGTTCGTTTATTAATTTAAGTAGCCGGACATTCAAAATTTGGCTTTCGAAATAAAAAGAAAATCCAAGCTGATTTATAAAGTTTCTATCCTTTCGCTTCTCTCAACACTAAAATATTCGAGTGATATGAAATCGACTACTCTTAAGTAGCAGGGTAATCACGTATCTGAAAGCTAACTTTCGTTCGTGACCAAGCCGGTATCTGATAAACGTTTTGTTCTTGATCGCGTAAGACTTTTGTGTCAATTTCGTTGCTATCATTTATGTGTAGATGAAAGAGCAGAAAAAAGAAAAATTCTTGTTTCTATTTAATTATGGCTATAAACATTCGAAAAATAACACCCGGTGCTCTTCTCTGATAAGTACGTAATGTAATGAAGTAGTGAACGAATATTTAGCAAGTAAGTTGGAAAAAAATGGAAAAATAAATATCAGAAAATTGATTATTCGCCTACTCTTCCCATATAATTAATATAATTTTGTAAGATGGAAAAAATATCAAATTTATATCAAGTGGAAAACATTTATCAATTAATTGTAATAAGTAAACTAGATTTTAGTGTATTTTTTAAATTGACAAAGTTAACAGTTATATTATTTCTTAATAGATCTGGCTGTTCGCGTACGTTTAGCTTGACTCTACACTCGAGCTCAAATTATATACGTTGATTACTTGTGCTCCGGTGGCTGCATTTGAAAGTTTACAAATTAAAAATCGGTGATCGATTAAAAGAAGAATTTAATTCAATGGACAGAAACGGTTTTAAATGCAAGATTGTTGACAATGTTTTAATGCATGATGCAATTATGATGTGATGCTTAATTATAATGATATAACCGCCAAATTTTTGCAATAATTTAGTTAAATCGTTCATGTTTGTTGTCTAATTTGATCAAAAAGAATACCACTTTAATACTTTGTCAGCAAACTATGAATTTTGTTTCAAGCTATTACACTCAAACTGTTCGAGGGTAGATGTCTTATCACATGCAAGAAAGAAATTCTATAAATTTGCATAAATAAGAGCGAAAAACAAAAATATAGCGAAAATTCGGTGAAAGAATTGCAAATTAATGGCGAGGAAATAAGTGTACACCACTAGGTATTAAATTCAAGTGGTGTAAAAAATTTTTATAAATAAAATCTCAACAGAAAAGTTTTTAAGAAGACTTGTACACAAACGAACACACGTGTAAAGCTAAAGTCCCGAGGGTAGGCTTTTGATCTCCAAGAAAATATGTGCTCACAAAGCTAATCGCACTCACCGATATTGTCTAACCCATTCTTGGAAGCCCGAGATAGAGCCCGCTTGGATCGGAAATATTAGGTCCGAAAGTGCACAAGACGGATAAAGTGCCTCATTTTCACTTATCTCGGTCACATACAGATGGTAAGACACAACATTTGTCATACTTCCATTTGATTCCAAACATACATGCAAATAAACGCGCCAAGAAAGTAGAAGCAGAAAAACAGCAGCAACGACAACAATGAAAATATCACCAATTGCCACTAAATAAATAATAATAAAGGGCTCGTCTCCTAACATTCTTGCTTCATATTTCAATAAAAATTCCGAATGTCAACTCTAACAGAATTTCTACGCTCACATTGAAACCGACGGATGAAAGGCCAATTTCTTCGCTTAAAAAACTATTAGCCACGGAGTATCTCGATGCTGTTCTGCGCAAGCCATTCTGAGCGAATGATACTTTGGTAACATAATTTATACCTTCGACATCGATGGAAAATAAGACGCGTAAAGTATCGACAGTAAAAAACTAGTTCTGCAACCCCTTAGTTTAGATGCTTTAGATCATACTACACACGTTTATATTAGGTTTTTGGAAACAGATACGGCATTGGCACCTGGAATTTCTACGATTTTTTTAAGCTTTTCCCAGTTAATAATTGTATGGCTCACTAAGTGTTTCATCTAGGAGACATCATTAACTGATTTACCTGGTTGAACCGTCGCTGGCAAAAGTCCAATGTCAAAAATGTTTTTTATGAAGAAACATGTAGTAAATTTCCCAATTTTCGCTATCGCATTTGGAGCACTTTCGTCGAAGGCCTTATTTACTTTTTCTGGTTCTATATCATGGTATAGTCCTTTTAGTAAAAGGGAAACTTGTTTCTTTCTCGTTCTTTTGAAATAAAAGAGTAAGCCTGCACAGCTTACTTATGTGATGTCTATAAGGTTGTTGAATAGGCCACGCGGTCTGTGAAATAAAGTTTATTTTTGTACACCTTTTTAACTTTGAATGTTGGTGTTTTGGCCTAAAATTGTTCTACAATGCCTTTTGCGTTAACGGTGTGTAAGAGGATTCGCGAGCGTTATAACTTAAAAGTCTCCGGTAACGCGTTGGGATTGAAATATGGTTTATGCTTTGGTGGATGGTTGCCTGGTGGAATATACTCACTTTCTATTCTCGCCAACATAGCAAATCGATTTTGATTATTGGGATCATAATTTAATCCAGATAAGTCAATATTTGTTGTAGGAATGTTGACGTCACGACGTGCTCGTTTTGATGTGCTACTGATTATTCCATTGGCTCTATTTGGCGTTTCATTTGGTGTTAGTTTTTAATTGGGTGCCAACGCCGTCTCTACGTATATTATACATAGTGGATACAGGTATCATATGGCAAGCAATTGCAGTTGAGATACCTGGAGAAAACAAAATTAAACGTTTTAAATGAATCAATTTGACGAATGAAAAAAGTGCGAGTAAAAATTGCATCCAAACTGTTCTGAAGTTGGATGCGGTTTCTTTGTTAAACCGAGCGTAAGCTGAATAGCTCATGTTCTGCGTTAGCATTAGTTTTTGGAGTCAGTGTTGATCGTTTAGACTTGTATTTATCAGTCTTCATGCTGTCGTTGGGGTGTACACAACCAACTACAGCGTGTTACTCAATTGAAATAAAGAAATAAAGAAAAGAGTCAAACATAACCTAGAAAGCAAAAAAATCAAAAAATTTAGTAAAAAAGCATCATTATTTCATCATCACGTGAAATTATGAATATCAGCAATGGATTTCTATATAGTTACTGGATTATGGATCTAAATTTAAGTTAAAAGGTCCAATCCATACCAAATACAAACAAAAAAAAAAAAAAAAAAAAAGACTTGTATTTATAAGAAAAAAAAAGCTCGAAATTGAGAAAAAAATGTGTGAAAAAAAGTTGTTTACTTACAAACTGCTGAATAAAAACAAACAATTTTATTTTGTGAAAAGTAAGTAAAATAATTCTTTTTTTGTACTTTTTGCTCCAATTGTCTAATTAGTACTCTTAATCCGCCAAAGCTTGTAATCAATCCTGTATCATCAGTTTTTGTATACATAATCGCATACTGTCACTATTATTGAAAAAGCGCAATGGATCAACAAATAACAAAAACTCATCGCCTTGCCGAATATCTTAATTTTATCGCCAGTACGCCTAACCCATTTGAGTGCGTCATAAAGTGCAGTGCGGAAGTAATGAATTTAATTCCTCCAGTTCCCGTCGCTTATTTTGATGACCATGTCGACGTTTCGCTAGAAGTCTCCCAATTGAGGCGAATAAGTGAAGAAATTAAAAGTGGCACATCTGCACTTTCTGATTGAATTGTATTGAAATAGAAGCTACAAGGAATAATTTTGGATTAATATTTTGTGAAAATTGAGAAGTGCGCATTTATTTATGTAATACAAAATTAAGTTTTAATTTCCAAGCGATTTTAAAACACCATACGTTCTTTATGAGTATGGTCATGTATATTTATTTAATTATTTATTTATTTATACATAGTATTCAGCTATAACAAGTAAGAAATTTATATTCGGCGGGGGCGAATGTCGCATACCCATCACTAGATTTTTCACATTCTACTCTCCATTTTCTTTTCTTTTATTTGATATCTGTATCGCTGATATTATTAAGAAAAAATTAATCCCCGTGTCCATTATATCCATTTTAAAATTAACCTATAATTATAAAATTTAATTACTTGCATGGCCGATTGTTTCCATTTTTCCACGTAAATGGTAGAGTGCTTCGCAAAATAAATTTGGAAAATTTCAGACTTATAACTTTAATAACTTCCGAGTAACGAGCAAGTATCGAAAAATTTTTGTTAAAAAAACCGAGCCGCGTTCAGTTTAAGCTTCGTTGCGCGTTTCTGTTCTGATCAATTTGACCCATTTCTAATACCAATCTGTGTGCAAAAACTTACAATATTTCTACCAATTTTGAAATCGATATCTTCATTTTTGCGACCAGGAGAGTGCCAACAACACGCACCACACAAACAACTAGACGGACATACTTGGCTAAATCAACTTAGAATTTCACGCTGATCAAGAATATATATAGCTTATAGCGTCTCTGAAGCTTCAATTACATCTATGTTGGTTAAGCTTTATGAAAATAAAATTTTTGCAAGAACGTTAAAATTAATCTCTTCTAATAAGGTCGGAGAGTCGAAGGTGTTGTTTACCATACTACCTGGTCTTATCTCAAATTGCTGAGCAAGAATTACTTTTGAAGTCATTTTGTTGAATCTATATATAACAGCTATTGAAAGGAGGCCACACAAACGTGACACGTTGGTCTTACCAAGCCCTTTTGTTGCGTGCGGGTAGCCAAGCTCTGCGGTCCACCTTTCCATAAACGCTGATCTAGTTTTATTAATGGAGAACTCAACGTGTAGATTAAAACACAGTCTTTGGTCAAATAAATCTCTAAATCAATCCCAAAATCAATGAAAGAATCCTCACTTTCCAATTTTTCAGAATCGATGAGATATTCGGTGGTAATAGAGAGTTGAGAAGCTATTTGCTTTCTACTTGGAGAGATATGGGCGAGGTTTCAATTTCTGGATCACGGACTCTCCATAGACGGTTACGTTTAAAAAAAATACACGTGCTATACTCTTAAGGGAATAAACGAGCAAAACCTACTTACCGAACAAGCATATCAAAAGCCGCGGGACATTGTATACCCTGCCCTACCCATGGTCTCCTTTGGCCCATGATTTGTAGTGGGAGACCTCGAAGTGGCTCCTCTAATCGACCGAATATAACGAGAGGCTGCAGAGCTCCAGATTTTCTCGAATATTTTCC